TAGTTATCGACTAAATTCGGATATGACATCATCATAAAAATGCCTAAAAACATTACAATTTGTTGTTACAATTTTTTTCTGGCAACTGTGAAATGACGCATGCTGGAGAAAAATCATGGATACCAACATGAAAGCTAAAATTTCCAAGGCATTTCATAGGGTCTGGCACCAGGGACTTCTTTATAAACTCAAGAAAATACTTCCTCCCACATGCTATCTCATATTAAAATCATCCCTCTGAGATAATTTTTTCTCTATTCGACAAGGCTATGAAATCTCATCTATCAGACCAATTCTAGACGGAGTGTCCCAGGGATCAATTCTTGCACCACTGCTTTACATAATATACACACATGACGCACCCCTCTCTAGTGACACTTTGAAAGCCACCTGAAGACATTACTATTATCAAAAGACACAATGACCCCACAAATGCTTCATATACTCTACCAATTCACCTACAAATCCTACACGGCAGGTACAAACTTTGGAAAATAAAACTAAACCACAACAAATCTCAACACTTTCAAAATAATAATAAAAAATCTTAATGTTTTTTTTTGTTCTCCTTTTTAGGTTATACGGGGGTTTTCGCGGGCTATGGATGAGGGCGGGGGATTAATGCCAGAGTTAAAAGACCCCCAGCAAGTACAACAATTATTTTATTGCCTCTAACTTCGATTATCAGGTTGCCGGGCAACGCGCAGTGCTGTGCACAATCGTTAGTCCGCTCGGCCACCCCGCCCCTAAAAATTAATCATCTGCCAGCACCGGAGCAAGATAGCAAAAAAAACATGAATAAAAATTAAGACTAAATAGTTACTAATATTAGATCATTTTAGTTACTATAATGAAACTTCCCTCAAAGAAAGCGGACACTCACATGGAATAAAAAAATTCCCTCTGTAGAGAGATGTTCGTTTTATAAAAATTGGAAGAAAAACTAGTTAAAAAAATAACAATTAGAAAACTTAAAATTTATATCCTGAAAATAAAATCGTTTATTCGATTAAAAACATCGTTGGACTAGCGTAACTATTTCCAAATTGTTATGAATAGATAAAATCGTTACAATTATTCCACTTCCTCCTACAAAATGAAATTGTTTCTCAGCCAACTAATTTGTGAGAAAACTTCTCTAATAACTACTCAGAGATCTCGAAAATTTATCATGAGCTCAAAGGTCCACCACGAGTATAATTGTTCGAAATAATTGTACGAACGCTGGAGGGTTAAGATACAAGCCTGGTGAAATCATCCATGTATAACTCGAAAGAAATTATTTCTTTGCATTGTAATTTCTGTGTTTGGCCCGCTGTTCGCAGTATTCGTTATTTCTTTAAAATGTCTAACCACCAAGTTTTAATCGAGTATCTAAATTGCAAATACTGAACTTAAACACTCAATACTGATACACTCATTAATTACACACCTTTTTCTTTGAAATTTGACCGGAACCATGTTGACACATTATAATCAAATATGTGTAAATGACAACAGAGGGTTAATACTAAATTCTATTTCAAAAACGGATACCTTGGTGGAACTAAGTTATAAGAGAGGGGATTAATGTTCCCAGAATATGAGCTTCACAAGTTCCGTATATTCATCCCTAACTGGATATTTTTGGCTATAATTCTATATATCCGTTTTCCTTGTTCTTCCGTTGCTATTTTATGAACAATGAATATATAATCAAAAATAATATATAAAAATACAAAAATAAATGGCAGTGTGGTAGATAACGTGAGATATCTTTTTATAAAATTCAGGATTTTTTTTCGATCATTAGAAATTCTTGTTTTAGCTTCTAAATACTTAATATAAGATATAATATAAGATATTATAATTTATGTTTTTTTATCTTAATACATTTGAAATTTGGTTCATCTACTGAAAAACTCGTTTCTCGAAAACTGATAGATTTTTTACATTAAATTTCAGAAAATATCAATATTATTAGACTTTCCGCTGCCAAAATAATATTTTTTTTTTATTCTTGTACTGATACTGATCAACAGGATTCAGAACTTGAACATAAAATTATTTTGTCTTAGCTTATTTTTTGACTCATACCGGTCAATTCTCGTCCATGAGTTCTTCTTTTATAGTTCTCCATTCTTATAATTGATAATTTTTTTACTGTACATCCTACCGATTTTTTATCTTTCCTTTTGTATTTTATTTGATATATAACTTAAGAAAAAGTACTACACTAACGTTTATTGTTATTCTGTTCATAATAGTTATTATAATTTACTAGTAATTTATTTATATAATTAATGATTCAAGTTTGCCTTCGAGTAACAGGTATTGAGAAACGTCGACAAATATTAATCGCAAAGGGCCTCAAGTCAACTGTGGCAACTATTGTTTGTTAATTATTGATGTACACATCTCAATGAAGGTTTTCGAACAATTTTCAAAGAATGGATGGAATCTAAAAATTTGCAGAGGAAGGAATGCACAGAATTGCCATGGAACTTCCAAAATTACATAAACTGTGAAATGATTCCCGATGAGCAAAATAAATGTTGTTTTTTCGTATTTCTATCCTCTAAAAAGTGAAAAAGCATTTTAGTGGACATTAACAAAGATTTTATAATAATTCTGTGAAAACTGAAATTATCGGTTAGCCAAATTCAGGCTATATTGTACATATTTTTCAATACTTTAATTAAATTCAACAACCGTGGATAGCTCAGATCTGATGGGTTTTGGTAGTGTTAGTTCAGAGAAGAACATAAAAAGTGTTATATCCATTTGGTACCACTTTGTGCACTCCATTATGGATAAACGTTTCAATCAAAATCTAAATAGAAAAATAAAGAACGTGAAGGACGCGCGGCACTTGTTCATAATTTCTAAGTGCCCAAAATAATAAATCCTAAGTACTTAAACTACTAATGAAAGTTTTTATGAATTTTATGTGCGAATCTAACATATGTGCTAAAAACATTAATCAATTAATTGTATGAACATATGTATTTATGATTTATGAAGTTTAAAAATAACAGTATACGGCTCTAACGATTTTAATGAAACTTTCAATTTTCTACTTAAAGTCATTTACATTTTCGTATTTTTAGTAAATTCTCGAGACAATTCAAGAAAAAAAGTTTTAAAGAAAATTGTTTTGGGGAGCTAACTCACCTATCAGTTTTAAATGGATCTAAACGTTTCTGAGTTTGTTTTGAATCCTATTTTTTGAAAGGTCATTAAATTTCTGACAAAAAAAAATTTAAAAAAACTATTATAGTATATATAGTATACATTATCATTTATACGCTGATTTTAATGGTAGTTCACTTACCCGTTTACATTGCTTGTTTCATCTAAGGAATCGTACCTTAATGATTTCACTAATCGGTTTTTAGAAAAATGGATTTATTTCAATTATTTTTTTCTAATGGACGCATATAAAGTTGTATTTTTTTTTTAAATTATAGGAAAGTCTTGTAAGTGGACACAATAGATTTTTAATTAAAATCATTGGGAACAATATATAAATTGTCTTTACTCTACAACTCTTTCATTCCATATAATCAGAGGGATGGAGGAGGATTATCACTATCTTTCTTTATTCTTAATATTATTGATTTAGTTGTACTTTACAATGTTTATGTCGTTAAAACATCTAATTGTAATTATTTTGTGGCGTTTTTCTAAGATTTAAAGTAGCATATTAATAAATAGCAATAAGCTGATAGTTAACTGCAAGACTCTAGCGCAAGACCAAGACCAAGACCAAGGGTCGTTGACGCAAGACCAAGACCAAGGGTCGTTGACGCAAGACCAAAACCGCCTCGGTCTTGTGTTTGGGCAACACTAATTGCAATACGTCCAATTGTAACTGAATAAAAACTGGGTGCGGGAGAAAAACTGTATTTTCTTGGGCTCGAATAAAAGTTTGTTCAGAAGAATAAATAACGGTTTTTTTTTATTAATTAATTTGCATCCATTATGTATTCCACCTGCGAGACTCAGTTTTTTGGAGTGAGTAGGAACAAACTACGACTGGAGTGCAAGCCTTCACACTTCAATGTGGCTCAAAAACTACATCACTTCAACCTACGAGCCATTTTTTGCTCCTATATTCTATTCTCGGTTTCGCAAAATCTCACCATACGCCACAGCCTGGTGAGGTGATGTAATATGACAAACTGTAAGATTAATAAAAATGGTCATGATAATAATTTTTTGCTTCCTCACTACCGAAGGTATGGAAGCATTGTATTTAACATTAGGAAATTTTCCTATGAGAATGAATTTTACCTATATTTCTCTTTTCTTTAAGCAGGTGTTTTTGGAACTGTTTTTCGAGAATTTTTTTTCCACCGTCCAAGAAAAAGCGCGCCCCCGGGCAGAATTCGCTAGTACTGTTCATAATTTTTTTTTCTATTACGTTAAGAAATTCGCCTAAGAGGATGAATTTTCCTTATTTCTCTTTTCTTTAAATAATTTTTTTTTTTTTTTCCAGTTCCCAGGGGGAGGGGGAGGGTGTGCGCCCCCCTGCTAGATCCGCTATTGGTAGGGGGAGAGGTATCTTCTTGGGGGCGATGGGCATCCCTGTGTATACCTATTAAATAAAAAGCTTTTGCGATACTTTAATTTGCTGCTGAATACCTTAAAATACCTTTGGGTAAGCAAAGGTGCAATGTTTATTGTATATACATTTATTTAGTGTAATTGTATATTGCAATTAGTTTTAAATAAAGTCTGGGGGTTTGAAGATTTTCGGGGGGTCAGAAAAAAATACTTTAATTTCATTAGAATATGTGATAAAATAAGTGAAAACTATCCTAACATACAAAGTTTTTTTTATAGTACAATTGTTAATGAGAACGTTCGTGTGTATATATATTCCCGCCAATTTTCTACTGCCATTGCGATTGATAACAATTCGTGTCATAGACACGAATACTTAAATTTTAACTTGCATTCTTAAATAATAAATTAAAAACTAAAGCACTCATCATTATTTTTAATGAAATAAGCTTCTGTGTTTTGTTAATATTTGGTTTGAGAGGACTTTTTAAATTTTTTCTTTTTTTGGTGATCATGTCATTTGTCCATTTTTGCCTCCATTCTAATTTCCAAACGTATGGGTTATTAGTCTTGGAGCACCGCTCTGACCCGTGCATTTCATTTAGTTTTTAAGATTCAATGTAAACATCCTTGAAATTTTGACTTTTCGCTGTCTTAGATAATGTATATGTGCTGTTTACGTGGTGTCTGTGTATCTTGATAGTATTAAGCGCTAAGTGTAAAGGCAACCAGGTATAGCCTAATTACTCGAGCCTTTGTAACTATCCATGCTCCTCTTTCTCTCGACTATTTCTTGCTGGTGTTAAAATGCCTTTATTGCACAAGAAGCCATTTAATCCAAATAAACATCCACCTGACTTAAAGGAAAATGAAGAGGTCTTCTTTTGCAGGCTAACTCTTGAAATATTTCGAGATTATGAGTAAGTTCATTCTGTTTAGTTTCCTAGATCGCTTTAACCCTACTGATACGTTCTGCTTCCCAGCCCACCATTTTCTCATGCATTTTTTGTTTCTATTAATAATTTAACAGATCAAAAATGATTAAAAGTTGAAATGACAACAAAGTTATCTATCTAAAACTCATTGCTCTTTTTATCTAGTTAACCTTTATGCATGGTTTCTCATTAGTGAAAATCTATATTAATCTTCTCAAGTCCAAACAAATTCTCATATTTAGAATTCATGCTGAAATTTTAAAAATGGAATTTTTATATACTTTTTCAATTGAATGATGAAATAATTGAGTTCAGTTGAAAATCTTTGCTGTTATTTTTTAAAATTGCTTGTTTAAATATTCACATAGCATTTGTAGTTTCATGATGTACATTTTATGTTATGTTTTTCTCTTTTTAACGGTAGTTTATTCTTAGGGAGTTTTGTGAACGAGTCATCTTGTGTAATTCACTCGTTTGGTCATGTTCACTTACCGGACGGTCTCACCTTACATATCAAGAAGCAGCAGCCAGTGAAGAAAAAGTTAAAAGGCTTCTAAAACGATTTCCAATGGAGGTATGTTTCTCAATAAATAAAAAATAGTTTTGTACTGATGTTATAAGGTATCATTGATCAGATCTAATAAATATGTGTTGGTCATTATAAGAAGAAATTCATAATCGTCTTTGCTCAGCAATTTTTTTCTGGTATCTCTATTATTATATATTGGCACATTAAATTCATTGTGCATGTTGTGTTTTACATGAATATTAAACTTGTGAAGTATCAATTTCCGTGGTATATATTTGGATGATTCAATAAATTTCTTATTTTTCTACTTATTTTAAGATTTGTGATTGACATTACTCCACTTCTCTCAAATTTTTTTATAAGTATGAAGATATTCATGGTCATAATAATATTTTTATTATTATTACACTTAGCTAATCTAAATAATTTTTATTTTGTGTTTCCTTGTTAGTATATCATGTTGGAGATAGTAAAAAAATCAATTTTTATATAAATTTATTGAAGGAAAGTCACATGCTCATTAGTATATGAATATATTTTTTTATTATTGATATATTCTGTATACACCTATACTTATCTACTACGTAAATTTTTAGTTACCAATTATTGCAATGAACAGAATTATCGTAAAGTAAACAAAACTTAGATTATTGATTTTTTTGTTGTTGTGCAAGGTCAGCTTCTAAGTTTAATGTCAGATTTAGTAATCTTAAAATGCCTCATTCTTCATTTTCAGTAATTTTATAAAACCAGAATTATTACACATTTCTGCTCTTAACTTATATCATAATTTACCCACCTAGATTTATTGTCATGTAATTTAATTATCATAAATGCAAATGCTAGTTTTGTAAAACATTAATCAAATGGTCATTTAATTGGGGTCTAGTAGTCATGAACTATGACTACTTATTTATATAGGACCTGAAGATTTGGTTATATTTCTTCACACTGATCATGATGAAGTTCTGTGATCATTTAGTTCTAATATTTTTTTCATTTTTAAGGTGCTTCAAAACAAAGTTGAATTTTTAAAGTAAATAAAAGTGATTGCTGTTCTCAATTCGAACTTATTAATACCTACTCTTGTTATTAAATATCCCACTGTTGTTTCTGAAAGTACTATTATTGTTTTTACTTCGTTAATGTTAGCCAGATTATCTATGACTTTGATTACATAGGGATTTTTTTTATTAAATACTTTATAAAGTTTCATTGCAAGTGCTTGTATATAGAAAATAATAATAATAAAAGGTTTAGTGAACACCAATGTTCGATGCCAACACCACCGCTGTCCAAACACAGTCCCTACAGATCCACTTTAACACAATCTTCCCATCTTCGCTTCGGTCTACCGCTTGGATGTTTACCAGTCAGCACAGAAAATATTAACCTTTTAGGAATTCTTTTGTTTCAAGTCCAAAAATTTTTTACAACCCCATTTAATTTGCTGTGATTTAATCACCTCAATCATATTCCCTGGATGAAATTCATGCCATTCCACATTGTGTACTCTTCTAAATTCTCCTGTTAGCTCATCCTTTTTCGATCCGAATGTTCTACAAAATACTTTATTTTTAAAAACCTTAAGACGTTGCTCATCCCTTGATGTTAGTGGCAACTTTCTGCATCCATAAAGAACCGTAGGTAGGATTTTTGCCCCTCATAAAGGCTTATTACCGCGTAGAAGAGCATTCCATGGGCAGCGAATATGGGGATGATCAGTTGAAATTCCTTATGAAGTTCCTCCCGGATAAGTCTGATGGACTCGCCAGTCAACAAGTAGAAGGGTCTTTCAATACTTGCTGGAGAATGTGATGTAGGATTGATCGCCCTACTTACATATCTTTATTTAACCATACACCACAAATAGTCATGGATCTTCCTAAGATAAAACTCACTAACCGGAGGTAAACTAGTCCCCCGTGGCAGCTGCTTTATGGGATTCATGCCACCATTTGAAAAAGAGGGAATTACGTAGAAGTATATGAAACACTAATCTGGAAGATATTGATGTCAAAATTTCAAGGTCCATTATATAATTGTTTTAGTGAGGAATTCATGTTCTATTTAAATATAGCACATTTGTGCCTCTTTTTTTTCTTCCAATACCACTGTTATGTATTATTTTCACTAAGCGATAATTTTGGATTGGCTGCTCAATAGTACTTCAGAATCAGGATTTATAGTTTATATTTCTCGTGCCACCTGTGAGGAGTGTGTTAAGTGTAATTTTGTGAATTTTTATGAGTGTCACCAGAAAGCTAATTTTTCTCTCTTTCTTTGTGTCTAATGGGCCAAGCTCCGCAGCTATTACAGAGATGAACATTCCTTTGTGAATGATGATTTTGGACATTCAATGGAATGTGGATGAGTTAAAACTCGACAATTGAACTTGCTCCTGTAAAAAGTCAAATCTATCAATTGCACTTAATACACTATTCACAAATGTCAAAGATTTACATCATATAATTAATTCATAAATGATTATTTTTGCTGTATTTTTTTTAGTTGAGAATTCCTGTGCTATATTTATCATCCTTATGTGACAGACGTTCACTTGTTGAATTAGCTGAAGATGTTTATTCCTTTGTGAAAGATAGATACTTCATTGGTGAAACTGTTGAAGTGAATCTTTCTGATGGACAATCTGAACCGTGAGTATTATTTGATTAAGTGTGAATGTTGTCTGTTTGCTATGCTGTAAATTATAGTATGATCAATTTCATTTACAAACAAAGTTATTCCATCTTGTGTTCTTTTCTATTTAGTCATCAAATTTTGTTTCTTTGTTGTAGTGTTAAATGCCATGTTCTTGCTGTGAATCCACCAAACAAAGAGGAAATTGAAAAGTATGAAGAGAAAATTGTGAAGTAAGATTTTTTTTTATTATTGAATATATTTAAATATATATTATTGAATATATTTGAGATTCAAATAATATGATAATGAATAATCACTTTTGAACTCCTTGGTGAATTATGACAATCCAGGTTTTAGTACAGATAACAAGCAAAATATATAATTAGAATAAGCTTTATAATCAAATAACCTTTAAACAATAATTAATTTTTTACAAGTACTACTTTTTTAAAGGAAGTACTTTTTTATAGGTTCGTTGGGATATGATAGTTCCAACTTAGATCCATGAGAGTTTGCCCTTACTCTGCCAATTGATCATAGGCGATCTATAGTAATTTCTTTAACCAGTTTAATTAGAGTTATATTTGTATCGAGCTTATCTCAAAGATATCTCTTGAATTTTAATGTTTCAGAATATCAAATTAGCATAAAAATTTATATAAGCTTCACCAAAGTGATAATAATATTTATTATATTTCTTCCAAAAACCATTTATATTTATAAACAATATTGATAATGCAGACCAACTGATGCAGAACTAAATTTGTTCCTTGTTTAAAATATAAAACAAAGATAGTAATTTTCAGCTTAGAGGACAAAATTGTTTTTTTCTTCTTTCATGTATATAAAGTTTACCTATCATCAGTAGTGCAAGAGTAAAACAAAGGAGACTGATTTAAATGCCAATCCAAGGTCCAGGTCTTAAGGTAAGGTGGTTTCAAAAAATGAACATAAGCAATTTACTCAGTGTATCCTCTTATTTCGTTCTATGCTAAAAAAAAAAAAAAGATTTATTAAAATTTTAGATTATAAAAACAAATATTTAGGTGTTACTACTGAGCTTTGAAAAGTTAAAATAGTTGACAATTTTATTAATATTTCCATACAATTAAATTATAGATAGATAGATGGAAAATAAACTTTATTCTGTCCCTTATGAATAACGGTTATGAACAAAAAAATAAAAACCACAACTAGCCAAAAATTACATTAATCCACATTAAAGAATATATACAGTATCTTCAGTGAAACTATATTAAAACAAATAAAAAGTAACACCATTTAAAAAAAAAAAAAACAAACACTATTTAAATGAAAAGAAAAACAGAAATCAGGTAAAATAATATAAGCATGGGTTGATTTTTAAAATTAAAACTTGAACAATTTCAACAACCATTCACCTTAGTCAAAATTTGTTTCACAATATTTATTTCATTGTAAAACGTCATTTTGGGATGTGAGAAGGAATTGGTTGAGATGATATTTGAATGAGGACAGAGAAGAGGCATGGCTGATATCAGATGACAAGGAATTCCATAAGGCAGTGGATCGGATAATAAAGGAATATTCAAATTTCTTAGTTCTATGGCAAGGGGTATAAAGGTCGGAAACACGGGATCTTGTTTTCTGGGAGTGGACCATGGACTTGAACTGTAGGAGACTGTAGATGTAGGGTGTCGGGTGTTGATCGTTTAGAATAGGAAAGACCCTGGGAAATATTGTCTGCGGAAAGAAGAGAAAAGCCACATTAACACGTCGTAAAGGTGGGACACATGAGACCGCCTCGAAGTGCCGAAGACGAATCTTAAGCAGGAATTCATGACTCGCTTCAATCTATCCTCGAGTATCATAAGGATGCTTCCGTACACCACACAGCCATAGTCAAAGTGGGGGAAAATAAGAGAGGATACAAGGAGCTTGCGGATGGGTTGTGGGAGTAGGTGGCGGGAGCGATGAAATAACTTATGGGTACCTATTGACTTTCGGGTGATGAGGGCGATATGGAGTTTCCAGGAGAAGTTATTGTCAATGATGATTCCTAGGTTTTTAGCGGAGGAGTTGAATTTTAGAAAGGTTAGAGAGAATGGAGATTGGGCAGTAGTCTTTAGAAGAAGTACGATTGGGGATTTTGTTAATAGATATGACTAATGCTTTTTTCCAAGAAGTAGGAAAAACTGAGTTCTGGAGGGAAAAATTATAGATGAAAAGGAGAACAGGAAGGACTTCGGGAAGGCATAATTTTAACAATTTGACAGATATTCCATCAAGTCCGATAGAGTTTGTTTGGGATTTCATTATAGAGGAAGTAAGGTCGGTTGGTGAAATGTTGGAGAAATAGAAATGATCACTGTTAAATGAGGGAGATAAGGAAAACTGGTAAGAGGAGGGTGAGCTGTTGCTGGTGGTGAAAAATATAAAGTAGGAATTTAATTCATCAGGGCAAACCGGGTTGATCGATGATGAAGAGGATTTTCAAAGAGAGAGTTTACGAAGGGTTAGCCATATTGATTTGGAATCAGGAGCAGAAGAGAGAGTTGTTTGTGCTGTATGTTTTTTTTATTTGAATATTCTATCCGACTTTAACTTATTTAAAACTTCTTTTTTTTAAATTTCTTTATTGAGTATTATAGCAATCTGTCTGTTGGACATTGGTTATAGTGAGGTAGGATGACAAAGTAAATAACTAACTAAATAACATACCATTTAAAACTTCCTTACTGTTGTGAACCATTGCTCTTCTTAAATTCCCATTTTCAAACAATGCTGTTTGTGTATTTATTTTTCAAACCTTTAATGAAGACTTCTACATTAGTTTTTTGAAGAGTTGAAAGAGAAATACTATATAGAAAGTAATGCTGTCCTACTACATAGGGTTCCTTTATACGCCGCAATACTAATCAATCCATATGGATATACTATTAGGTTACATTTTTCTGTTATTATATATATATATTTTTTTTGTTTTTTTAGAAATGGTGAGAGGTATCCATGGGTTCCTGCTCCATTATACCGGTACGAAGTAGAGCGAATGGATACTTCCGAAGAGGCTGAAGTTAGTGGTGTTCTCATCTCTCGCAAAAAGTCATCTTATACGAAAGATAAAAACAGGCTTTATATCAAGCAGTTTGTTCATTTGGAAAATGGATTTTGGAGATTAAAAGTAAGAAAATACTATTTTCATTGGATGTTTCATGTTGATGGAGCGAAAGAAAAATACAAACTAACTGGGATTATTATCCTGATATATAAAGAAAATAACGTGATATTTCAGGAACACTGTGTGATATTGTGCTGATGTTGGAATCACATTTTGGGATCAATACTGGAGATGTATATTAATAAATTCTTAACACAGAATAATTTTCACCCGTGGTATTCTTTTGTTTTTAACATTTTGAATATCTGTCCATCTTCAGATGAATTCTAGGCTTGGATCCCCAATTACATTAATTATATCACATTAAATGCTATAAATAATTTATAATAGTAATATATTCTTACTCATTAAGAACCAAATTGTTACAAAATAGTTAGGAAACAATAGTTATTTTTTATTTTAATAGCAATTTTATCGATTCACTGCTATTATATATGTGTTGCATTAGGATACATTATAAATTATTCATTGAAAAATATTTACATACATTTTAAAATATAGACAGGATCAAAATCATTTTTATACTAGCTTTAGATCATTTAAAATAAGGAAACCATTTAATATGATCAAATGTAACATGGATTTATTGTTCCATTGTAATAATATTTCAATATGAAATTATTCATATAAATGTGTGATATTATTATTAAGATCTGGACTGTGTTTCTAACTCTAAATAAATTGTTAAGAATAAAATGTTTTATGTTTCTTATAAAGCTAAATCGGGATTTTTCAGGAAAGCTCAAATATGAAGTATGGCATTTCGAAAGTGAAGTTTGAACAAATTTTTTGTGGTGCTGCTCCTGAAATGAATGTTCTTAAATCCAATAATGGAATCGAGAAGAAAAAAGGATCAGTTGGAAAGAAGCAAGAAACTATTAACAAGTTTGTAAATTTTAAATTATTTTGTATTATCTAATTATTATTATCTAAATTATTTAAATTATTATTTTGTAAATTCAATTAATATTAAAAGAAAAAAATATATATGAATTACAGATATTTTAAATCTTCTGATAAAAAATATAACATCGCTCCAAAGAAGAGCCCAAAAAAAAGTGGTGAGTTCTTGGAAAGACGCAATGGTGGAGTAATTAGGAAGAGGAGGACTAAAAAAGAAATGGAAGAAGCGCACAGGTATAATCTCATTTTTTAAGGTTTTTATTTTTGAAATCTATAACCTCTTGAAATTTCTTAAGTTCTCCACATTTAATTTTTCAGTGTTCCATTTTGTTAGTTTGGTTGTTCCTGCTCTTGTCACCTTTGCTATGCTTTGATTTAACTTGGTTTTAATCAAATAGTAGTTGGAATTACAGTTGTGGCCTCTCATACTTCGCACATTATGATGTTAAATGAATGTCTTGTTGATTCAAGATGTGATCTATCTAATTCACATCTCTTCCATGTGCCCTCCACCTAATACCTTTTTGTATCTTTTGCTCTATCTGAACATTTCCGTATAATATAATCAAATAACATACCATTCTAGTTTGTTACTTTATGCAAGGAGTACTTTTTAGTATCTCTTTTCTCCAATTTTTTACATTCAAGTCCTCTAATAGCACAATTTCATCATGTTGCTTCCCAGGATATCATAGAATTCTTCTTTGCAATCATCACCAGAATCTTCTGTTGGGGCATTTACAGAAAACCAAGATATATTTCTATATTCACCTGGAGTGCATATTTATTGAATATTGGAGCATATTTAACTCTTAGTTTACATAACCTGTCAGATATCGGGTCAAAATGAGGAATAGATCTTCGTACAAAAAAGTTTATATAGATAGGTTTATACAAGTCCAAATTCATGCAGATAATCTACAAATTTATGTTTTGTGCTTTTTTTTTTTTTTTAACTTATTTTTGATTAAGAAGTAAACTCAACAATATTTCTTCAAATATAGTTTGAATAGAATTTGTCATAGTTAAAACCATTCCAAGCTGCTGAACTAACGTAGGTTCCGTTTTTTCATAAAAAAAGAAAAAAGAATTGAAGTATTTCTATTCAATCCTTTGTTCTTATCTTACCTATATTTTGTGGAATGGTATCAGTGGGGTGACGCTCTATCTTAATTAATATCATCATATTGAAATAAATCTATTTTTTAATAGTAAGTATTAGAAAGTAATATTATTAAAGTAGAAAAAAGTTAACAGTTACTTGATATACATAAAATTTAAACAAACATAATCATGACATTCTGTACCTCAGTAGTTTTGCAAAGAAATGAATGCTATGTAGAAATAGTATGATATAACATAAATTCTCAAATAAGAAAAGAAAATATCAAAAATAAAAACATGCGTATAAAAAAATACCTGCATTTATTAATGAATTAAATTGTATTTTTGTTTTATAGGCTTGGAAACAAATTTGGTCCAAAATATAAATCATCTTCAGTTGAAGCAAAGCAAAAAGAAAAGCTGGAGAAAAGGGAGAAAAAGAAAAATTTAGCTGAATTTTTGAAGGAATGGAATTTGAAAAGGGAAGATTTGGAATGTGAAGATCTTAAGGTAACATTTTAAATTGAAGAATTTTATGAGAGTTAAAAATAGTTATAGTAATTAAACTTACTACAGCTCGCGGAATACCAATGAAGCAGACCTTATTTATGTTTTTAATATTCTTATATGTATGTATGTACATATATATACATTATTATGTATTTAATTAAATACCGAAATATTTATTTAGGCATATTTATTATTTTTACTTGAGGCATCATTCCACACGTCTGTATTTTGTTTTTTCCAATAAAATATGAACTTCTATACAATTGAATGAGTCAAAAACTTGAAACTGTTTTATTTTTGTTTTGTTAAAAATATAAATGCAAAACAAACACTAAAGTGTGTGCTTTAGACCGTTTCATTAGCTGTGTTGCGACCCTGGGTCGGTAGACCCTCCATGTGCACACCCAGCCTCTATAAAGCCCTTAATTAAATAATTGATTAAGGGGGAAAACCTGGCGCGGTTGAGCGTGATGTCGGTCAAATCACCTTGCACAACCGTTGGACCTAGGAACAGTGCTTTCTCTAAATAGTGCTGAACCCAAGACCTTTCATGGGTTTTAGTGGCACAGGTCTGCTTTAGACCTCACGTTATCCTATCAGTATGAAAAGTTCGAATTTTATGTGCTTTTCATATTATTAGCTAGCATAATAGTAGTATTTAAAAGTTATGATTAATATGTTAGTACATCATTACTTTATATAATTATCGTATTATATTTACTATTTTATTAGTAATAATATTTGTGTCCAGAAAATGTTACATGAATATTTCGGTATAAATCAATTTAATTTATATATATATTTTTTTTTACCAGGATCTACCAGTTCCTACTCCGGTGAACAGCAAGCTTTCAAATGAAAGGTTTGGTGATGCTGTAATGATAATGGAGTTTCTATTTTCCTTCAGAAATATATTACCAGTCAAAGACTTCTTTCCAAATGGTGTTACATTTGATTTGGTTGAAAGAGCTCTGATCGATAACGAAATTTCAGGTAAAATATTTGTACAGTGATTTAATAGTTTAAAGTATTTATCAAAGGCAAAAATCTCCTATAATCTGAATGAAATTTTCTGTTTGTAGAAATCTGAGATTAATATTTCGGAACTATAAAATTCCTCAATTTTGATAATCTTATAATAGTTATTTAATATGTACTATTGTCTTAAGTAAAATAGATAATGAGAGAGCTATATCTCTAAATGTGAGCATTTTTAATTTCACTTACCTATATATGAAATATAGTAAGAGAAATTATTGCGATATTGAAATTTTCGAATCTGAGTTTTCAACGGAAATACATGTTTTGAGGTCTCCTGAGTCCAAATAATCAAGTCCTGCAAAATGGTCTGTGTTTGTTAACAATCTAGCCCAGAAACAAAAAGTAGTACAAAATTGAAATTTCATATTTTAAGTTCTTATATGTTTGGGATGTTACAGCAACTTTTTCATCAAGATCGGCTAACCAGAAGTGGCACTTTATAACATAGACTAAACACATTTTTACGATTTTCTCTATAATGGCTCTAACCATTTTATTAAACTCAGTATATCAGAGTATTATTAAGCAGTTTTTAATATAATATAGGTTTTATTCTCATTTATGTTATCTATCAGCGCTTAAATGGCTAATTTTCAATATTGGCTTCCTCTAAAGTACTTTTATATAATTGAAATAATTAACCATTTCACATTAATCTTTGATATAAAAAATAGTTAAATATAAGATATGAAAGAATTTGATAATTAACTGAAGGAGAAATAAGAGATTGTAACGGATAATAGTTGTAATAGAGGAATCAAAGGAATACGAGCTTGCCTGAACTCGCCCGAAGGATTACAATAGGCTTTGATAATATGGACTCCTACAATATTATATAAATATACATATGCGGTTTTCATAAATGCTATTGTTTGTATTATTTAATACCAAAGAAATATTGATACTTTTATCTGCAAGGGAGTCAGTACTATGGTGGTTGAAAGATATCTTAAAACTGAATTAGGACAAACTTAACTAAGTAAAGCCAACGGGGAGAGGGGGAATGCCCACAAGAAGCTGTGGTATCTCCTTTACTTTTGTGTTTAATGGTAAATTCTCTTCTGACAGTACTAATCACTATGGGCTTTTATACACAAGGATCTGTTGATGACAGCAATCCTAATCGAAAGAAAATATTTTAATGTTCTAGGATACAATGTTATAATTTTCAAGGCAGTTCTGGGATAAAATTGGATAAGATACAAAGACTAACCCATCTGTTAATTATAGCAGTTGGTTATAAGCATCACTATCCATTCTATAGATTAAGTATCACTCCAACAGCAGCAATGGAGATAAAATAATATGCATGCATAACTTCATTTCACTTAGAATTTGAGACACTAGCCCTCAAAACCACATTACATTGAGGCTTTTTAAATAAGGCTTGGCTTCCAGAGTTGTGACATCCAAGAGGCACTGGAGGCTGTTAAATGATTGTGGAGGACAAAGGGCTTGTTACTATACACTCTGACGCTCAATACACAAGTTTATGGACTAAATAGAATGTTAACATAGGTTGGACTAAAAAAAATTGACGCAACAATAGGATCAACTGCTACATGGATGTCTCTCTAACTAAGGCTCAAAAGCAGACATTTGGAAGTAAGATAAACCAAAAGAAGGATTAGATATTTTATTTGCCATTAGCTATTGTTACAGCATTCTATTGGAGGAGGGGCTGAAGGGGAAACTCGTAACACTACGCTGACAGGCAGTGATTAGGGCATTAATTAGCAATTCTACTTGTGGAAAATCGGTTTATAATTCTAGGGGAGCCGGGGTGGCCGAATGGGCTAAAACGCGCTTGCACAGCATTGCGAGTTGCCCGGCAATCAGATAGCCGAATTTATGAGATTAAAAAAAGTACGAGTTAGAGTCCCGGTGCCAGAGGGGATTTTAAATTCCCCGCCCTCACCCTCCGGTCCGGGAAAATTCCGTATAGCCTAAAAGGTGAGGTAGGGAAGAACAAGGAAAGGAAAAAAAAAAATGTTTATAATTCTGGACAATCTTGGACAGCAAAATAATAAAAGAGTAGAATGAATGCCAAGAAATACAATTTTTTCTGATAATGAACGTGCAGATGCTAAAGAAGGCTCAAAGCACATCCCCCTTACACTAGAACTAGTGTATTGCATAAGGCTAAGGTATTTCAAAAGTAAAATCAAGTTGACTTATGATGATAAAAGTCATACAATATTGCCTGAATGAAGAACAGAAACCCTGTTCCTTGATGGACAAAAAAAAAAAAAAAAAAAAAAAAAAAAAAATGAACCTGTTTACATCAAAGAAAATAACAGTGCTGTGTACTCAAGCTGCTTGAGTTGTGTTTGTGTAGGTCCTGCCAAGCTGATAATTAAACATTGTCATAAACAGCCTATGTCCGCTGGTGTGACAAGTTTTGCAGGCTTGAGGTTTGGGTTATTTAACATGAACCTGACTGTATGTCATTTTGGCACATGGTATACCTAGACTGCAGTAAAAAAAAAAAAAATTGTGAAGTTGGTTGGGGTGTTCAATAAAAAATAAATAAATTATATTAATAACAAGAACAGGCATTTAAGCATCCTCTTGATGAAATAGTTTTTTATCATAAAGTCAATATTAATATCTCCATTACTTGAGTTAACGATCAGTCAGAAAAAGTTTTCTAAATCTCATCTCCTTCACATGGTTTAGAATAACACAGATAAAAGGCTTTTGATTATCCTTATAAATAAAATTACCAAGATGTTTTCATTAACTTTTGATTTAGCAAAATGTCTTTTTGAATTTTATAAGTTGATTACTTAATTTTTCTTTATTTATTTATTTAGGTCCACTGAGTGATCTAGTTCATCTTCTTCTCCAAGGAATTTTTGATCTTCTTGAACAAGAAGCAGAGGAAACCAAGGATACTGATGTGAAAATAACACGTTAGTATATTTTTTATTTTTAAATTTTAATTGTAATTTCCAATGTTAAATATCTCTAAATTAATCTATTGTTCTAATTTGATTATATTTATGATCTCTTTAAGTTTTTTTATTTTTATTTCCTTTTTTAGCTGGTTTGGTATTCACCCGAGGAGATGCAGATATGGTTAGTGTGGTTAAAGCAGCCACAGTTTCTGAATCATGGATAAGAAAGCACCATTCACTTCCTTTATGTCAGCTGACTGTTGATCCTACGACTTTAACGGAAGTCCTCAGACTTCATTTTCTCAGTTCTGGTGCAGCTCCTGCCAAGAGTAAAACAGCGAAATGGAGGTTAGTTCATCTCTCATTATTAGTATTCCATTTAAATGGATTTTGCTATGAAATCTTTTATTGAACTCCAACATATATACCAAATCCTGTTATTAATATTGTTACAAGGAAAAATATATAGATTTCAACAGAAAAATTAATTTTTTCTAAAATTATTAGAAAATGAAATGTTCCCCTTTTGCCTTGAAACAGGCATTTAATCTCTGTGGTCAGTCATCAATAGCAGCACGCAGCACTTCTTGAAGAAAGCGCTCAACTGATTGGTTTGAGGCTTTCCAAGTTAGGGTGTGCTCTGTGGCATGTTATCCTCTCCATTTCGGACCAAAGCCGATAATCTAGTGGGTTGAGATTAGGACTTCCATAGGGCCAATCTGAGGCAGAGATGAACTCTGAAATGTTCTTTTGCAGCCACTGCTGAGTTAACCTAGCCTTGTGAGGTGGAGCAGAGCCCTGCTGAAAAATCCAATTGACAACAGGTTCCAAAATATCGTCCTGATTGTTGCATTGAAGGAGCACTTTGCATCTATCCACTCTAATTTCTTTTTTAGGGTGCGGTTAGCCTTTGTCCTGTTATTCTTCGAAATGCACCCATCCTAAGGTCACTTTTTATTATGTGAGACATTGATCTGACAGAGATTCCCATTTCCTGAGACATGATTTGTTGTTTTCGATTGGGATTTCTTCTGATTCTAGCAGCTACTGTTCTCACTGCAATAGCCGATCTCAGTGCGTGGACAGTCCGGTCGAGATCTTTCTCATACAGATAGGATCTCATTATATCTATTTATAGTGTGGTTCACGAACACACCGCTGATACCCAAAGGTTTCAAAGTGTTGAAAATCTCTGATCCACATTTTCCAACCTGTATAAGACGATCACAGCTATTCGGTTTTATTTATCGCCCCATTCCATGTTAATTGAACAAAAGACAAATAAAAACTAATTAGGATTATTATCCTGACATGTAAAGAAAATAACCTAATAGAAGTAAGGATTATCTAAATAATACCCAAGGGTGTAAACTAAGTTCAACTTTTGTATCAGTATTTATGGCAGAACTAGGCACCACAAAAGTTATCTGGGCCTGTGTCACTTCAACCTTCCAGGATTATTGTAAGGATGGGTGGAGCTAGATAAAGATTGTGCATGGAAATTTGGATAATATGTATGGTTCTGATGGAATCTGGAAAAGTTTTCAGAGATAAGGTCTGGAGGAAATAATGGGATATTAAGGTCATTAAAAATAGATTTATGTTTTTGTTGGTTACATAGAATGGAGCATCGTCTATTGTTCAGAGATCTTTGGACTGAAAGGATGGGATGTGTTTGATGTTGGAAAATTTTGTTGTACCCTAAAGTTTCTGTCCGTATGTTCAAATAGGTTTCAGGATTGTCTTGTAGATCAGTAATTTGTTGTCTATTGAAAGTTGAGATTTTCTAGTCATTAGTCTATAGTTGACCATATCGTTTGTTAAGTTCTTGTCTTTAAGTCTAGTATGTGGGTTCCACGTTAGTCCTCGGTCTAAGAGAAAGCTAAGATAACGGGCTGTGTCTGAAAAAGGAAGCTGAATGGAATTAAAGTGGACTGAATCTGCCCCTGAGCATGAAATTGATGTGTTTGCATTTAGATTCGTTTACTTTAATGCTACATTTATTACACCAGTGCTCAATCAGGAAGAGATGTCTTTGCAGATTTAAGTATACTATTTCGGGATCTGAGTTGGATGTTACAATGGTGATGTCATCAGCAAATGTTGTCAGGAAGGTATCGGGATGGACTGTGATATCAGCGGTAAAGAATATATAAAGGACGGGGCCCAAAACGCTACCTTGAGGAACACCGCCTTCAAATGGATAGGAGTTGGGAAATTCTGCACCGCAGCAAACTTAAAAGGTGCAATCAGAGATGTAGGAGCGGAGAACCAAGTACGAGGACTGGCGTAAATAGGTTTTCAGCTGGAAAAGAAGCTTGGCATGCCATACCCGGTCGAAAGCTTGAGCTATGACCCTCTTGTTGTTTAATTTCTAATCTATTAAAGCATGCTTTATTGATTTCCTTATGATGAAACCTGTTCCAAAAACATTGTTTACATCTCCACAGTTTATCAATGTGTACCTGCTCAGGTCCTGGATCTCTACTTTTTTCTATTTGCCCTCCTTTGCCAATTGCCACTATATCCGCATTATATTTATTCAGCTCTTTTTCTTGGTTATAGCAGCTTACTGTGTGTGAATGTTAGTTTACTGTTATTCGGACCTGGGTTTCAATGGCTATCTACAGTCTGACGACTGGGCGATCCTACGCCTCTTGAGCCATCTTAAGTTATGTCTAAAATATATCTATTTTAAAGCTGATTGGTCTTAAAAATAATTGATCAGTTTTATTAGAATTTGCTTAATTCACACATGTTTTTTTTAACGAGACAACACAAAAGTGGGAAAGTGACAAAAATAAAAATTTCAATTTTGTCACCCTATTGATAATATAATACTTTTCATATCATATATATGTCTAATATGAAAGCAATTCTATTCTCGTTTCCAAGGTTTAATTTTTACAATAATTTGTAAACAAAGCAGCAAGATGTCTAATTGGACTGCCTCAGCCCCCTTTAAATTTTAAATATAACTGGATAGGTAATGAGTTCCCACACTGGACTGCTCCGCCCCGCCCCGCATTTTTAACATTAAGGCTCTTTGGCTACCGAGTCTATCCAAGTGGCTGTCATGCTTAAATGGGTCAGTAATTGAGATAAATTAAGGCTGGTTAAGAAGGGAATCAAAAAGGTAAAAATAAGATGACTTGGGTTCTTCCAGCATTCAGTCTTAATTCATTGTTTACTACTATGTTGGAACTATCTATATCTTCTTGTTTCAGTAGGATGGAAGGATATTAATGTTTTAGGGTCATAAGCAAATGTACAGCAGATGATAGGTGATAAATGGTTTTGGAAAGATGATTAATATAGTAAGAGAATATGGTGAGAGTTTAAATGGTTTTGGAAAGATGATTAATATAGTAAGAGAATATGGTGAGAGTTTGTAGTAACTCCAGGAGAGGAAGGCTCCTGATTAATCGAAGGGAAGTGGAAGAAGTTTATTAGGGATCATAAATGTTTTGAAACAAAGAGGCAAAAAGAGAAACAATATTTGACAAGGAAAGGTTTTGAAGTTTGTAAAGGAAGTTCTTATGATTAATTAAATTGTCTTTATTTGAGCTTTTAAAAAAATGTTGTCAAGGTTTAGTATAGCTTCCTGATATTTTTATAGAAGTATTAATCTAAAAAAAAAAAACCTGTACCACTACAACCCATTAAGGGTCTGGGGTTCAGTACTATTTAGGGAAAGCACTGTTTCTAGGTCAACGGCTGTGCAAGGAGATGATTTGACCAAGATCACGCTCAACCGCCAGATTTTCCCCCTTAACCAATTATTTATTAATTAGGGTACCCACTTCATAGAGGCTGGGTGTGCCTTAGGATGGTTCCCGACCCAGGGTCCTCCCACGGCCAATGAAACAGATAAATAAATTTTCTGCCATGAGCTGGGGTTCGAACCTGGGACCTGTGCATTGGAAGCTCAGTGCCCTACCACTGAGCTGCCCCACTCCCTCAAGCATCTACGATTCAGAAAATAATGGTGGCATCATGTCCATACCCTAAAAGACCTAAAGCCTTCTCAATTAAAAGTTAGTCTAACAAAAAGAATTTTTCAAATCATATTGGTAGTTCTTGATATTAGCTCGTTCCAACTAACAAACTGTTTCTTTTTTATATTATTCCATATTTTAATTATTATCAGTTATAATTTAACTATGAACATATTATAATTAATCGTTAATTAATGTCCTAGAACAAATAATATAATAAAGCATGATCACTTTTTTTGTCTGAATAATTTTTTTAGTACACTTAATTATCTTATCATTATATTTTACCTGTTATCATTATTTTACATTAATTGTTTAAATTTATTTGCAGATATCAAGCAAGAGGTGGATATTGTAACAATGATGATCCTGGTGTTCTTTTTAAATTGAGGAAACCACAAATTATTGAGAAGTTAGGACAAAGTAATATTTGTGATTTTTCTATCGGTAAGTGTTATATCTAATTATAAGTTACAAATTTTTATATCTTCGATTTATTCCTGATTAAATTATTCCTTAAAAAAATCTAGTGCGTGCCACACACAACTTTCACTTACTGCTCCAATTTGAATAACAATTATTTTCTGGCAATGCTGGACTATTATAAAATTTTTAGTGAATTTTAAACGGAGCTAAAGCTTTAAGCTTACAGATAACAAATCATTAAGACCATTCAAATTACATAAAGTCTATTTATTATAACGACGGTAGGCAATAAAAATCTCGTTACTCCATCTGTTTTTATAAACCAGCAAAAGTCTCTAAATAAATCAACTTCAGTCTCTGAACCTTTCAATTGATAGAATGACTAACTCCAATTTCAACATTTTTGAGTAATGTCATTTTAGTGATATTTCAAGTTTGATAATTTACCTATATAGGCAGTGAGTAAGTTGATTCCAGTGTTGATATATAGAACTGTGAATAAAGGTATAAATTTGGCCACTAGAAACATCACCAAAATTAATAATAAAGAATGTTGGAATTAAGGTTAGTCATTCCGTCAACATATAGAACTGTGAATTAGAAATATAGAACTGTGGATAAAAGTATAAATGTTACCACTAGAAACATCACTAAAATTAATAATAAAGAATGTTGGAATTGGGGTTAATCATTCCGTCAACCGAAAGGCTCATATGCCTATAGAGGTTTGAAAGTATATCTGAGTATTTAACCTATTAATGATTATGGATTGTAGGACTATTAGTTATTAAGCTGTTATTCTTCATTGTAAAGTTTCATAAAAGATGATCTTGTAAAGTTTACTAAAACCAAATTACGAGATTTTCATTTCCTGCCATGGATAGTTCAAAAGTTGTCACACTAATTGTAAGTGGATAATGTTGGGATTTCAAAAAGGGAAAATTCATCAAATTATCCACTAATTTAATTTTCTAAAACGTTACTTGATGATTTTTTGGATACGGCCGATAGATACCAAATTATTTAAATATAATGTCTTACCTAGAGTTATTAAACTATAGCAAATATATTTGAGGTTATAAACATATCCACGAAATATTTTTATATTTCACTTCTTTCACACAAGTACAATGAAATGGTTTTATAAACAATGGCATTGGCTTGATTCGGTGGATTTTAAATAATTTTTTCAAACTTAGAAAGAAATTTAAAAGTTTACATTTAGTAGCAAAATTTCATTTAATTTATTGGAAACATGTGATTTACGTTAAATATTTTAGTTTTCTGAAAAACATTTTTTTTTCTATAATTCTTCGTTTTCCAATGATATATTAAACGTATACCTTCTGACTTATTTCCGGAGATTCATTTTCAACCTGGATTAGCATTTTTCTTTTTTTCTCCAGTTTTCAATTATGATATTCTTTTAAACTTCATATTTAGCCATTTTTTATAGTTATTGTCTATAAAAGAGTTATTTATTTTAAATAAACCATATTAAACGTACTTTAGAGGAAGACGACGTATATGAACATTTGCTATTAAACTCTGTTAAGTGACATCAATAGGGATAAGACCTAAATGACATTAAAGGTCACTTAATTTTACAATGATACTCTGAGCTTAATCAAAATCCTTGGAGCCGGTTTTGAGAAAATTGTAAAAATGTTTTTCAGCGTTGATATAAAAAAGTGGCACTTCCAGTTAGTTGATTTTAAGGAAAAAGTTGCTGCCACATCTAAGGCATGTACCTATCTTAAATATGTAATATCAGTTTTGTACAACTTTTGATTTTTGAGCTAGACTGTTCACATACACACAAACCATATTTCGCGACTTGGTTATTTGGACTCAGTGGACCTCAAAACATGTATTTCCATTGAAAACTTAGATTCAAAAATGTTCACTATCCCAATACTTATACATTACGTATATAGGTAAGTGAAAATAAAAAATAATTGAACACAATACCAAAAGATTGACCTAAAATATTGCAATTTTTTGGTAAATGAATATAGATAATTATATCTGATTTTTTTTTTATTGTCATCAATGTTAAATGCTGAATGTCTACCACCTTTTGAGGAAGACTTAAAAATTCAGATATTTATTTTCACCAATAATTTAAAAATAGTTACAATATAAAATATGAAAAAAATTTATAATTAAAGGAGAAATAAGAGATTGTTACGAATAATAGTTGTAATAGAGGAATAAAAGGAATAAGAGCTTGCCCGAAAGATTACAACAGGCTTCCATACTTAACATGAGCTTCATATAATACGGACTCTGACAATATTATGTTCTAATACATATGCGGTTTTCATAAATGCTAGTGTTGGTATTATTTTATATTTAATTGTATAGAATAAAGCAATTTAAAAAAAATAAAAATTTGTATATATAAGGCTATTTAAACAAATAAAAATATCCACTATGAATTTTAAATAAATGTAGCATCAATAATTTTTACTTTCACTTTCTCTTTGTCTGAAAATACTTATTTCTGCTAAGAACAGGGTGGCAAGCAAAAGTCTTGCCCACACCAGATTTTTTTATTGCTCTAGACAATTTTTTATTAATTTATTAGAATTAGATTATTCAATGGAACTGTTTAATCTAGAATAGGAATTAAATATCTAGCTACAAAAATTTTAAGTGCTTTATATAATATCCAATCTTGCGCTGTAACTGAAATACACTGACAGGAAAAAAATTCCACCCACTTGATTTTTTCATCTAAAAATATTTCTGCTTTGGATTGGTCTATTGTTTTTAATGAATAAATAGGTAATCTTTTTGTTTGTTTTCAATTAGGAATGTTAATATAGAGGACAATAACCCTTAATCCTTAATTTAATGAAATGATTCTAGATTCCAATATTTTTGCTTTCTATGGAATCAAAATGTTTATTCAGTATCATTAGTTCAGTGTCGCTTCTTGCAGCACATTTCTTAGTCTCCGGCTTTTAATATTTTCAATATTAAGTTTAAAAATGCCTCTTAGTGCTGAGGATGTTGCGCGTGGTGTGGCACTTATTGATGATGCCATCGGAGTTCCATATGAAACTTTACGAGACGTTTTCGGGAAACTGGTTCTAACAATAGAAGGCCCGGTTCTGGACGGCCTAGGGTAACAGAACCACGGGATGGCCGGTTTTTGACTGAGAATTTTATGAAACTGGCACCTTACCGTTGCTCAAGCGATTCATCAGCTCGAAGAAGTTCGAGGTGTGCAAATTTCTGAACGTACCGCTCTGAGAAGATTAAATGAGTATGAATTATTGGCTTTTCGTCCAGTAAGAGGACCAGGGTTGACCAGAACTCACAGAGTAACACGGCTGGCTTTTGCTCAAGAACACAGCCATTGGACTATGGACGAATGGAATGCTGTACTTTTTACAGATGACTCAAGATTCGCTCTTCGATCTCCAGACGGGCGTGAAAGGGTGTGGAGAAGAAGAAACAAAAGATATGCAGCCTGTAATTTTTCCCAGAGCCAACTTTTCCAACGTGGTTCCTTAATGGTGTGGGCTGGGATTTCAATGGAGCGCCGCACAGAAGTGGTTGTTGTTCGTGGAGGGTCTTTGACTGCCATTCACCATGTAGATCATATTTTGGAACCTCATGTGTTGCCTATCCTCAACGAAATCGGCGATCGTTCTATTCTAATGCACGCCCACATGTTGCCTGCATAGTTCAGATGTTCCTTCAACAGAACAATATTGGGGTTTTAGCCTGGCCAGTATGTTCTCCAGATTTGAACCCCATTGAGCATTTATGGGATAACCTCGGAAGACGAATAAGAGTGGGTGCAACACCTCCTGATACACTGCAGGACCTTGAAAGGGCTCTTCGGGAGGAATGGGCTATCCTCCAGCAAAGGGACATTTCCCGACTGGTGGAAAGTATGCCGAGGCCCCTTCAAGAAGTAGCGAAGGCAAGAGGAGGAAAGACGCGCTACTAAACGATGATGTAATTAATTTCTTTTAGAATAATAATGGTTCGGTTTTTAACTTTTTTTTTCTCTAATCTTTCTTATCCAATCACATTTTGATTATTAAAGATAAAAAAGATTGTAAAATTCCATAAATACTAAGTATTATCTACAAATACCATGCATTATATACAAATACAACTTTACAGAAATATTTTTAGATGAAAACATGGAAAAATCAAGTGGGTGGAATTTTTTGCCTGTCAGTGTATTTACCCCAATACTTAAGGCCCTAAATTGTTTTGTAACTTAAATTTAACTATTAAGAAAATAAAAATCTGCAATTGTATAATTAATATCTGATGTGTAAACTCACTACTTTCCCTACCACTTCATCTGAAAAGTTCTCCACTTTTACAAATATTGTTTGCGGTCAGTTTATAGACAGTTTAATTGTCTTTCTAATGAATGTCTTAGATTAAGATAAGCCGAGCAATACTTTTTTTTTTAGACTATCCAATAAGTAGTTTTCATCATTATTTTTGATATTTCAAAAGAAATATAAAGCATAGAATCAAATATTTTAACTTATTTTTGATTTGATTATTTCAGATGAAAAAGTCTCCATTATAAACTGTCTTATGGAACAGATCCTTACTTACTCTACACCTCGAGATATTGTTGAAGAAGGTTGCGATAAAGCAAGATCTGCTCGCATAGAGCTAAGATCTGTTAGAGCTGCTGAAGTTAGAAAAGGAAAGGAAGAAGCAATGAGGTATGTATTCAAAATCATTTATTTTATTCTTTAGATTTTAAGGATTAACTAAACCTACTAGCTTTAGTATTATTATGGAAGTACAAATTTCTTTGGTTTTTGTGAACTGCTTGATTTTTTCTCTTAACTCTTGACAGCCGCTAAAACTAGTGGTAGTAGAAAGAAAGTTGTGAGAACATTTATTCTATATTTATTATTTCTAAAAAAAAAGAACGGTGTGTTAGATACAGAACAGTAGGATTACATGTGTACACGGCTGACTCATCACTATGTGTACAGATAATTTTTCAATTGTGAGAAACAAAAACGAATAAGGACCCTTTTTTACAGCATTGAGTATTTACAGGGATTATAACTTATATTAGTTTATTGAGGAAGTAGAAGTTCTATTTTCTAAATGCTTCTGTTCAGACTCGGAATTTTCACATTTAAATTTACTTATCATTTAGTTAATGAGAGCCAAACTTTAAAGACGCAAATTTGCTCTTAAGATATTGTAATATTCTAAAACAATAAAAACCATAAGTCTCTTAAAAATAATGTGACATTAATTCAGGATATATATATGCATATATCGCATTAAAAAAAAAGTTAACTAACATCCATGATACCTGAATTGGCGAAACATCGACTGGTTAGTTATTTACTTGTATTTTAAATATTTAAAGTTCTGTTGAGGAATTTTTCAATAACATCCCTATTTTAAAACTTGATATGTAAAAATTGTATTCAAATGAGATAAATAGAAAGTTATGAGATTATGAAGAGAAGATAAATAGGAAGTTATAACAAAAAATTGTTATAAATATATTAATCTCTTGATAAAAATAAAAAATAAAAATAAATAACAAGATTTTTCAGATAAAGGTAATTAATAATCAAATTCTTTCCCTAATTTATTCCTGATTGTATATCATCCAGAACACTAAATTACAAAATGATCAGTTATATATTTCATTTTTCATAGTTTTGATATTTGAATAAAATTTCTCATCTACTTTAAATGAAATTTAAGTTTATGGAATTCATATCTTTTATATGACTTGAAATATGTAATACTATAATTTAAACTGTTGTATATTACATGATGCCTGACATTCCTAATTCATTCCATTAATTATGATAGTTTTGTGAGTCTCCAACTGATTTAGTTAGTAACCTTTCTGCTGAAAATTCTATACTGCAGTTTATGTTTCTTCTCAAAGCACTCTTTTTTTTTTTAATTGGACAATGGTCCTTGAATGGCATTCTAGGGAAAAATAAATAAAAGTTTTACAACATTAGGTGTGAACCTAATCTTAATATTGAAACTGAATTTTACAATTAGATTTGCCCTTTTATTTTTTAATTAATATAGATAATAAGAGCACAGAAAAGGTGCTGGAAGGTCAGCTCCTATGAAATTTGTGCTTCCTAATTAATTGGTATGTTTCTAAGAATCATATTTTGAATTAAATATATCAGATGTATTTTTGTTCCTCAGACTACCTGAAGCTTGTATATTGTTGGCTTGCTTTCCAGTTCCTTTCCTGTTATCCTTTACAGTAAGTCACTTCCTTATTCCTTGCTTAAATAGATCCTTTTTATCTTTTAGCTTTGTAATGTAATGCTTAAGAATATTCATGTAACATGTTTAGTTTGTGATAATATTGCTCCTACGACTTGGTGGTATCTGCCCTACAGATCATGCCTAGTTTTTTGTATTTCTTGATTGTTAAATTAATGCTTGTTTTTATGAAATTTTATTTCGATGGAATCAATGTTAAAATGATTTTCCAAAAAACCATTCAAACAGAATTTCAAAAAATCCTTCAGACACACCCATCAAAAAGAAGAAGAAAAATAAACACAAGAAAAAAAAAGACACATGAATAAGAAAAATAATATAAAATTTCTCATTTATTTAAGTTTAAATTATTTTTTTGTTTCCTTTGATATAACTATGAATATTAGAAATGAATCTCCCTCTGTAGGTTATTTGTGTAAATAATTAGATTCTTGAAAGCTAGAGTAAATATCAAATCTTTCTTTTCTTTTTTTCCAAAATTATGAATTTTCACGTGCATGGTTTTGTCTTTAGACAAATGTTGAGGATGCTGGAAGGGTACTAATACACTTATTATTTAACTTTAGTCAATTTATCAACCATCCTTTATTTTCTCATCCTCTTCTTTTTTGTAATTGAACCGTGAAAATACAAAAGGTCTAGGTGTAAGAGTCTTCAGATAAATTGTTCAGAATTGAAGTTCAATTGTTTCAACTTAAATAATATTTAAGAAATATGGCTTATTCTAGAAGACACACTTTTCTCTAACTTCCTGTGGTTGTGTAAGTAATTCAATCACATTTATAATAGTATTCAATTCTGAATGTAAACCTGTAATTTGAGAAGAAGAAAAAGGATTTTTTAATTTGTTTAAACCTAGATCCTTTTCAACATCCACTCCATTTTGGCTCATTCAAGTATATAATTTAATTTCTTTTTCTTTACATACAATTATTTTATGTTTCAGGCTAAAGGCAGTGAAAAAAGGTGTTGAACCAATGCTGAAAGAGAAAGAATCTGAAAAGTCAGCAGATGCTGTGGCTCGAGAATTAAGATCTGGACAAGGTGCTCCTGGCAAGAGAGATTTGCCCGAAATTCTTAAAGAAATTCGTAAAGCCCTAGCAGGTGCTCAGCTTGCTCCTCTCGGAACTGATAGAGCTTACAGGAGGTGATTGTTTAATTTAATATTTCTAAAATTTATCTATGATTTTGTGATAGAGGTGGTTGTTAAAAATTTAGTTTACTACTTATCACAAATGGTTGAATTTTTCCACCTTACACAATCATCCTCAACACTATTTCTACTATTCCTTTGTTTTAAAAGTAAAATGATTCTTCAACCGACATTTAATATTAGGAACATTACTTTTCGACATTGACATGAATCTTTGACAATTTAGTATTCATGGCAACACTGAATTGCTTAACAATGTCAATTGATAATTGGACTTCATTAAACACTATCCTCTGTTTCTGGAAGATATGTTATTATAAATTTCTACAATAATTGTTTTATACTTTCACTTACCTATATATGTAATATGAAAGTATTGCGAACATGAAAATTTTCGAATCCAACTTTTCAATGGAAATACATGTTTTGAAGTCCAGTCTCATGAGTCAAAATAACCAAGTCTCACAAAATGGTGTGTGTGTGTATGTATGTTCTTAGTCTAGCTTAAAAAACAAAAAGTCTTATGAAACTGAAATTGCATATTAAAGGTTTTTATAAGGTTTCGATGTTACAGCAACTTTTTCATCAAAATTGGCCAATCTGGATTAGCACTTTACATAATTGATTTTCCCCTTTTTTTACAATTTTCTCGAAAACGGCTCTAATGATTTTGATTCAACTCGTTAGATCAATGTATTATAAAGTCATTTTTAGTTTAAGCTAGATCTTATCTTCATTAATGTTTTTTAACAGCTTAATTAAATACTGAATTTTCTAAATTTCTTTATGCATAGTGCCTTTAATTTTGTTTATTTAAAGTAATAAACCATTTCATTTCACATTGTAACTACTAATGTGAAATGGATAAATACAAAGAGCTGTTCCACTGGTATTTATTGTTAGTTTAACTGATAAAATTAGTTTTGTTTACAGATAATTTTCAAAAAGATTGTAATGCTAAATGTAAACTTTACAATGGAAAATAACAGTTTGATAACTAATAGTCCTACAATCCATAATCATTTATAGATTATATATTCATATGTTTTTTAAAATCTCTTTAGGCATATATGAGCCTTTCATATGACAGAATGACTAGCTCCAATTTTAACATTATTCATTTTTAATTTTAGTCGTGTTTCTAGTGGAAAAATGTATACCTTTTTTCACAGTTCTATATTTCAACACTGCAATCTACTTACCCACAGTCTGTATAGATATAAATTTTCCAACTAGAAATATCACTTAAATAACAATACTCAAAAATGTTGAAATTGTAGTGAGTCATTCTCTCAACTGAAAGGCTCAGAGACTGAAGCTATGTGGTTTATAAAAGCAGATGGAGTAACTAGAGTTATTGCCTACCAATAAAACTGATATAATAAATAGGCTCTTTGTAATTTTAATGGTCTTAATGATTTGCTGTCTGGAAACTTAATTATTTTACTTCTCTACATACGAAAACATGTTTTACTATTCTATTCAAGATAGATAGGGTGATAAGTTAAAGTTAAGCGATATGCACAGTGCACCAAATTTTTTTCTCATGGCATAAGATTGCACTGCTGTCAATTCAGGGTTGCTCTTGCCATCTTGTAATTCTCTGATATAGATCTTAAATAGTCTTTTCGCCTCAATATTCAAGGTAATATTTTTCAAATATATTTATACTGTCGTGTAGACCATAAGAGAGTCCACTTTTTTAACTGCTAGTGCATAATGTGGCCGTAGATTAAAGAAAAAGTAGTTGAAAATGCAGCTACAGCTACTGGAAAAATACAGAAGTATGGGTTTGATTGATGTTAGAGAGTATTATCACTTGGTAAATCTGAGCAAAAGTCCATTGAAGCCTTGGTTAAAAGGATATAGAAATAAGTTAAGTTCTTTAATAACAGAAAATTCTTGTAAAGCCGACTGAAATAGTCATGGAATCAATAAATAACATAAAAGCAACAAAATTAGGGTTACAGATTCCGAGCCAAATTGGCAGTAGAAGACTCCATAAAGCATCTACAATATTGTCAATCTGGATTGGAAAATTGATACTGAATGATTGGAAAAACGGTATCATATTTCCAATTTCCAAGAAGGGAGACATCTTGAAATGAGACTATTATAGTGGTATTACTCTCCTACAATGCATATTTAAGATACTGTCCAGTTTTACTTTTTTATGAAACTCCTCCTATCTGCTGTGTGAGAAAATGGCAGGTATCAATCGAGATTTGGAAGGAGTAAATCGGCAGATCTAATATTAGGGCTGCACATGATAATGGAAAAAAAGTAGATAATATAAAATGGTCCCTCTTGATTTTTGAAGCATGTATGATGGTATTGAAAAGTCAAAATTCTTCATCCTCTCAATTCGAGGCAAAGAGAGTTTGAGTTAAGATAATGTCCTAGCTTAATTACTGGTTAGTCTTTCCTTAAAGAGAGTATTAATAAAAGCTGAAATCTTCTGGTACCGTAGCTATACCACGATTGTATATCTGGTTGAATTTCAAAGGTCATCAAACATTCTTTTCTTAGCTAAATCGAAGAAGCTGCAAATATGTTGAAGAATAACCAAATGTAACTCTATCAAGGAACAATTCACAATTGGACCATATATTCAATGTATAAAACTATTTGATAATATAAACTGATTATATATTTAGGCTTAATAGCTAGCTATATAAATAGGATATCCTTTAAACTGGCTAACCAGTTTTGAACTGAGTAAGTACCTTAGCTGTAAATCCCAATTCAGACCAATTTTCGAACTTTATAAAACATTTATATGATCTGTACTATCCTATGCTAATTCAGAAGAGTAAAAGCTTTTTTTTTCTTCAAAAGAAGCATATTATGCCATATATTTAAACCCATTAAGAATATATGGGCCTGTAGGAGGAGGCCTGATTATAGGGAGATATATGAAATCTCTGGGGAAGTAAACATCATATATTTTTATGAAATTTGGTCTGAGCTTATGAGTTCGGCAAGGATGAATGATGAAGAAACCTCCTTAAAACTCCAGATGAAACAGGTTCTATTACAAAAGTTCTTTTAAATTTCATAATAAATAGAAATTTATAATCATTCAATCTCTCCGCTACCCCATCATCAGGAAGCTAGATTATTATATTTAATATAAATTTCTATCTTTATTAACTAGTTATCGAAGGAGATGGTCTGGGTGGCGGTCATAAATAGGCTAAATAGTGGCAAAACTATTTTATTAAAAGCCAACTTTTCGACCCGACTTTGCAGGTCTTCTTCAGGGCTAGAACAGACAATATACAAAAGGATATAGAGAATGGTGGAAGTTACATAATATTTAGACAAAAAATTATAAACAATGTGAATAAGCTTATTAAAAATATAAACAGAGTAATTTAAGTAACAAGATCCTAAACTGAAGTAAATAGATGGTAGCAATTGTTGTAGCGTGATATATAATATATGCAAATATGAATATACTTCTACAGACCTACAGGAGAGGTTAAAAGAAAAGGAAAAAGGATATAATATGAAATAATAGACATAAAGGAATGTGGAGAAAGAAAATAAAACCAAACAATAAAAAAATAAGCAAATAAAATTAGAAGAATAAAAATAGAAATACATAAATTCTATTTCTATTTTTATCCTTCTAATTTTATTTACTTTTTTTTTATTGTTTGGTTTTCTTTTCTTTCTCCACATTCCTTTATGTCTATTATTTCATATTACTCAGCTTACTCTGTTTATATAGTAATGTACTTACTGTTTATAATTTTAATACGCTTATTCACATTGTTTATAATTTTTTGTCTAAATATGTAACTTCCACAATTCTCTATACCATTTTGTATCTTGTCCATTCTAGCCCTGAAGAAAACTTGCAAAGTCGAGTCGAAACGTTGTCTTTTAATTAGTTTTGCCACTATTTCGCCTATTTATGACCGCCACCCCGGGCCGTCTTCTTCCTTTATAATGCAACTGTCAACTATTAAATATTCAAAAATAAATATATAAAAACTTAAAATCTAAAAGTTCGACAAATTTCTAATCTGTCAATTTTTGTTTCAGATTCTGGATCTTCAGCTCGATTCCTGGTCTTTTTGTCGAAGAAGGAGATGATGAACCCGGATCTTGTCTACCCAAGTTAGTGTGTATTATTATTAAATAATATGGTTCATCGAAAAATTGGAATGAGAGTAAATAATACCTCAAAATAAGTTTATCATCATAATAATTCTTCATTGTGTAACTTGTCTGTCTTCTATATTTCAAATCTGATTAATTGCTAAATGATGAACTTGTCTAAAAAATATATTACTAAAGCATGTAATCTGTTGAAAATCCTACACTGAAAATTTGATGTGTGCAAACTGTAAGCAAAAAAACTCTTAAAATGGAAAATAGGGTAGTTGATCTTGATATATTATTTCACATGTAAGGAATTTTTCTGCTACGTTTTTAAAGACTCCCTCTATAATATTTACCACAAATTATACTTTAGCTGTTGCCACAAAATGAGTTATTAATTTTTTTAACTGCCATTTGGCTTTTTATATCATAATATTACCTGCATATCTGTTCTATATTTATGTATATTTAGGCCTTTTTAATCAATTGAAATATAATCTGTTCTTATTTCATAAATAATATGCCCTGGCTATTTATGCTTGTAAGTCAAAATGAGAATTGCCTAATTTATTAATTTGTGATTTTTCAGTGGTACCCCTTATTTTCCCTCGGATGGCGAAGGTGAAGAAGATCATTTAGCTTACATTAGAAGGTTGTTCGAAGAATCGTCAAAAGATAAAGAGAATGTGCCAGATAGAGGTCCTCTTCAACGACTTATGAGTCCAGGAAAAAGACAACATCTTGGTGAAAAGAATGGAGATGAAAATCATCTCAATCCAGAAGAAGAGTAAATATTATTTTGTTATTAGTTAACTTAACTATTAATTCTAGATTATTGAAAACATAATAATTGTTTTGTTTGTTTTAGGGATAAAAACCATGAATTGGAAAGATCACGCCTCATATGCTCTGGCGATTATGAAACTTGTTATGTTCATGGCAAAAGTCGCTCAAAGAGATGGTCATTTTTTGATGATCCTAGCCAAATAGACCAACTAATTAATAGCTTGAATAGGAGGGGTATCAGGGAGAAAAAGCTTCGACAGGCATTGATTCAGGAGAGGGATGTTATTATTACCAGGCTTGCTACTTGCCCAGCCGATAACATAAACCAACTTGTCTCTAATGGCGCGGTGAGATTTCAGTATTATTTGTTAAAATTAAAAAATTTTCTTTCACTTGGGTTAGCCTATATTTCCAGTAAGACTACATTTTTAATAATTAATTATTTCAAATTAATAAATTTTCTTAATGAGCAATAAATATTCATGACGCAGTCATTATAAAATTTTTATTGGTGCCGACGTTTCAACCCAAACATGTTTTTCGAGCACTGAAGGTATTCGAGTACTGCAGGTACTGAATACCTTCAGTGCTCGAAACACGCCCTGATGATGACCTACATGTTAAGGTTGAAGCGTCAGCACCAATAAAAACTTTATAATGACTGCGTCCTGAATATTTATCACCCATGATATGTGGAACAGTCGACTAACTTCCTTCAATAATTCATTAAATTTTCTTTATAGAAAATATTCACTGAAGTTCGAAATAAATCTATGAAGCAGTATGATGTGGCAGCTCAAAATTATCCACCCGGTATGGCTATTGATGATATTATGGAATCATCACTCCGAGATCTTATTCTTGAAACTGAAGAAAAAATAACTGGAGGAGCCTTGGGTTATTTAGATGTAAGTCTCATGAATCACCTTCAAAATTGATAGTTTCTTATATTGATTTTCCCTTTTATTAACATTTGAATGAACAATTATTATTTAAGTTTCAATTTATGTTTGTTTCTGTAAGAATTTGTTTTTACTGAGATATACATTTTAAATAATAAACACAAATTTAATTTTTTTATAACTTACTTGAAATGTTCATAACTGATCCATCAGAGGTTATTTGTTATTTAAAAAATCTAAATGAAAATCGCTAGTTTATTAATTAATTGTTACTAAAAATTGAAACTAAGAATATTCCATACTTTAATGAATTTTTTATGAACAAATTAAATTTTTACTGCTCTTGGCCATTTAATAAATCTAGTGTTTCTTATGTGTAAATACACATGTACCTATATATTTATGAAAATACTCATTAGGAATCTATCTACTGTATGGAATGTTATTTTCTTATACTTATATGAGTGATAAATATTCAGGACACAGTCTTTTTAAATCTTTTATTTATGCCAACATTTCAATCCAAACATGTGGCTCATCTTCAGTGCTCAAACCACTCCCTGAAGATAACCCACATGTTTGGGTTAAAACGTTGGCATAAATTAAAAAATTTAAAAAGACTGCGTCCTGAATATTTATCAACCAGGATATGTAGATCAGTCGACTATTATTATCGACCTTCAAGTATTATACTTATATTTGGATTATGTGTTAAACATGTATTTCTCGATAGTCTTTAACCATGGCTAGAAATAATTAGTTTATTCCTTCCATTAGCAATTATCTTATTGAACAAGTAAAACTATAATTTACATTACAAGTTGAGGTGTACAATTTATTTTATGGATTTAAAATCTATTTACGTTTATTGGTTGAATTATCAAGTCGATTATGTATCTTCCTTGTAGGGATGGGATATCGAAGGCCCAACATCAATATTGCCATCGATATTGTCCTGTAACTATCGATATTATCAAAATATTAGACTTCAAATATCGATAGTCAATATTTTCATCGATATTATAAACATCTTTGAAACATGTTTATAAATATTGATTCTCTAGCACATAGGCGCATTAAATGAGATTTAATTTTCTAGTTCCTGTCCATCTTTGTCATCCTCAGCTTTTTCCCAGAAATTTCTATTCAATCCATTATGCGATCCATTCATCCTTAGATTGGATTCAGTGAAATGCTAATTTAATTATATCCTACATAGATTTCTTTCACAGTTCGAAGCCTTGGTTTGAGAAGGTTCTAACTAACAAATTTGGGCAAATTGAGTTTGAGTTTATTGAATGAGAAGGGTCCTATGTGCACTATTTAACTCTACTTAAAATGGCCATCGATAGTCGATGTTAACGAAATATTAATATTTTCCTCTACTACATTACATTCTATATGGAACAGGCAAGATGAGTGTAATTTAAATGATCAGATTCATTTATAATTTATAGAGCTTTCCGAAAAAGATAGTTTAAATTTTTAAATTAAAATATGAACACCCCAACTATTCTTCTCTTCATTAAAATATCAAATATCGAAAGGAAAATATCGATATTTAAATAATATCGACTCTGGATGGCCTTCCTTACTCTCTTGTTCACATAAGTATCGCCTTCTGGAGTGACAGTAAGTTATAGGATTTTGTTATGTAATTAGTATATTTTGCTTATGATAATCCATTTTTATTTTTATTAATTTAAAATTTCAGGTTAAAAGTCGAGAGCTATGGAGGAAAGCTATTCAGAACAAGGGCTATGACCGCCAGTGTAAAAAACTGGTCTGGGGCAGCAACATATCGGTAAGCACTAGTTAGTTGATGAATTCATGTTATTTTTAAAGCATGAGGCATCTTAGAGGTTTTCCAAACTCAAAACCTTCGAGATTAATAAATCATGTATTTGCCTTCACATCAACAACGTTCATCTGTCATTTTTAAAAAGTTGAGGAAAAGCTAATGTTTGTAACAACGCTTCAATTTGAACCAATTCTAGTGATTTTGTTTTGTTCCCTTATCCAACTTGAATATTCTTAAATAAAATCATTTGAAACAGTTTAAGTTAAACCTATAAATCCAAAATTGACATATTCCTCACTTTCAGAAAACGACAAATGTTCGTCTTTGGTATGATGCCACTCACATATACTTTTGTTAATAAATTATATTCATATTAAATTAAATAATAAAAGGGTATGAAATATTCCAGAAAATAAAGTATACAGAATAGTAAGAAAACTAATAGATTTTTTATTTATGGAGGTATCGTTGAATGTACAACTAATTCTTGGAGAGTGTGGTCAGGAAAGAAAATATTGCACTTTAAGAAATACACTTATAGCTAAATTTTTTAATTAATTAATAAGTACCCCAACCTACTTCTACTAGAACAAATAAGTTAAAGAAAAATATATTTTATTTTCAATCTGGGTAATCGACCAAATTATTTTGAAAGACTACTTAATTATCCAATAATCAAAATTATTATCTGAGATACATGTAAACATAATTCGATAAATGATGAACGTATAAATGATGATTCAATGATGAACATAGATAAATGTAATTCGATATAATAATAATATCATAAATAATGTAATTAACGAAGTTTTATTATTAATTTTCTTTTTCTTCATCATTTACAATTACCACAAAAATAGGAAATGATTGTTTAATTTCATAATAAGTTGAATTATTTAATTTCGTTATTATTTTGTCATTTGTTCATTGAACAATATTCTTTGCAATTATTGACACGGGCCAACTAGTTTATAATTATTTCAATTTAAAATTAACAAAAATATTAAGAAACTCAAATAAATTAATCTTTTAATTTTTATGAGCTGTTACAAAGTGAATGTAATAAAGGATATTTATTTTTAGGTATTTTTATTGTACCTTTCTATTTAGGTTTTTTACTTCATCATTATTTTTTTAAATATTATATTTCTATTCTTTTCTTTCTTTCTTTTCTAGTTTATAAATTATAAAAGCATTGGCAATTGATTTTATACCCTGAAGCCTTATGTAAAAATCAATGTTGATACAACATATAAAAAGTTAATTCAGATAAAAAAGTAATTAAATAATAAATTCAAAAAAAATTTCTATTAAACTGATGTTTTTTCTTTAATTGGAAAGATATAATAACTTCTGTTCATTTATCCTAAAATTGGTGTCTTGAGGTTTTATTTTATAATAACTATTGATTTGATTATTAGGATATTATTTATGAAAGAGTAATTTATACAAGTTTCTTTTCTTTTTTTTTTTTCAATTACAAACTACATAAATATGCAATGCAAGCATATATTCTTAAAATGAAGTCAGTTTTCAGTCCTTCCCTCCCCCCATCAAAACCCGACGTGTGATCTTTTTACTAGTAATTATGGGAAGGCAATAAACAATTTCTTGCAAGTTTCATCTTCATTTTTTTAATGTTGGTATCAATTCCTAATTGTTGTGACCAATTCCTAATAAGGTAATTGGCTGTGACCTAATTAGATTTTTACTTTCCTACCTATAGTAGGTAAGAAAGTATTGCGATCTGGTCAAATTTCTGATATGCGGTTTTCGATGGATCTATACGTTTCAGAGCCCTCTGAGTCTGAAAAACACATTTTTAACCATTGGTCTGTCTGTCTGTCTGTGCCAAGATTTTCTCGGGAACTACTGAACCGATTTTGTTGCTTCTTTTTTTATTTTGTAGGGTTTTGGCAGAAATTCAGTGCTGCATGTCGCAATAGCTTGTGCACAATGTTTGATGTTTTTGTGGGGCTATGTCTGAAGCTCTCTTAGAGAAAATAGACTTATTATTACTCCATTTAGAAGTACTTACTTAATTAATCCGGTTCTCTATTACCGCTGAGCGTTGTGAGGGTCCTCCCTCTAGAGCCTAATCAAAGAATTTGTAATGAGCCAGTGCCTTCTGCTCCTCCAGTCTATTCCCCTCCTGTCAAAGGATTCTTTGATTCATTCTTCCCAAGTCTTTCTTGGCGTTCCATCCATTCTGATCTCGTGAGAGATGCTCAAACCACTTGAATTGGTTCTCTTGGATTATTTCTTCTGCAGGCTCTGGTCCAGATTCGTTCTTATGGTAGCATTACTTATGCGATCTCTTCTTTTTTTCCCTCTCAATTTTTTTTTAAATATCGCATTTCTGTAGCTTGGATTTGGCTTTTGTGCTTGGAAGTAAGCTGTTTGGAAGTAAAGTGAATAAATTGATAATTTGATTTAATCATTTTCCAGTTTTCTGGAATCAATAAGACAATAAATCCTAAATTTAGCAGACTATAAATAGACAATTTTTATTTTATTTTAGGAAGATGACACAAACATCAAAGCAGAACCAGAACCTATGGATGAAGAAATTAAGAAAGAAGGTAAAACAATTTATTAATATTTTATAATACTGCATATCAGTGATATAGTTTAGGCTCTTAAATATATCTTCATCTCATTCATTTGTGTTACTATATATTGTTACTGCAATAGATGAAGAAAGTCGGGCATCTACACCGTCATTGGATGATGCTCCTCCTGCTGTCTGGCCAGGTTTTCAAGATGTTCCTCAAAGACCCGTCATGTTTGATATGGCTTCAGCGATATTACAAATAGCTCAGGGAGTTGAGCATAAATATCTCAAGAGGCCATTAGGTAAGTGATAAGTTCATTTAAAATAGTTATTTACTTTCACTTACCTGTATATATAATATACAGTATATGTAATATATAGTAAGGGTAAGTATTGCGATCGTGAAAATATTTGAATCTCAGTTTTCAACAGAGAAACGGAAGTATGTGTTTTGAGGTTCTCTGAGTCCAAATAACCCAGACCCGCAAAATGGTATGCTTGTGTGTGTGTTTGCATGTGAACCTAGCTCAAAAACAAAAAGTCTGAAATTACGTATTTGAGGTTTTTATAATCCTTGGATGTTACAGCAACATTTTCGAAAAAATGGGCTAACCAAAAGTAGTACTTTAATTAATAGATTTAACACATTTCTATGATTTTCTCAAGTTTATTATTAAGCAGTTTTTAATATAATGTAAGTTTTATTCTCATTGATGTTCTCTTACAAGGCTTAAATGACTAATCTTCAATATTAGCTTCCTCTAAAGTACCTTTAATTTTTTTAATTTGAAGTAATTAACTATTTCACATTAATATTTGATAAAAACCTAAATATAGCATCTGCAATTTCTACTTTCTTGTTTTATCCCATTCGACTTCTTCAAAAAAAGCCTCAGTTTAGTTATTTGTTTCAAAGAAGAAACACGATAGTGTTCTACGAAATTCTCGTAATTTTAAGCCATAATTGGAAAAAAAAATTCACAGCCACTGAAAGAACTCATGAAATTATTAAATATGAATGGGAAGGTGTCCTTGACCAGCACGCTGCCCAGTGTTGGTTTGAAAAATGTAGCAATGGAGATATGACGTTGGAAAGAAAGGACTCTGGGCGACCATTAATCGATATTGATGAGGTTCTATAGGAAGCTGTTGAGTCAAATCCGTACACAAGTACTTGCGAACTTGCCAGGGAGTGTTAATGTTGTGTCAAAAGATAGTGTTAATAGCTGGTCATCTACTCTATGGGGAAGGTGAAAAAGAGCAGTAGACTGGTCCTTTACGAACTTACTCCTAAGCAATCAGCTATGAGGTTAGAAATTTATTGAAAAACCCTTCTGATATGAGATTTTACAGGAAGATTGTAACCTGTGATAAAAAGTGGATTTACTGGCAAAATCCGAATTCCTGTGATCAATGGCTAGATCACTGTCGAAACTGTTTTCCCGGTTGATTCAAAGGGACGATTTGAAAAAAAATCATAATCATAATTAAGGTATTATTCATCATGGATTTGTTTCTTATGGATGATCTATGAATTCTGAACTCTACTGTGAACAACTGGAAAGATTATATACAAAGTTTCAGAGTGTTATCCTGCTTTGAACAACCAAAAAGGAATTTTAATCCAACAAGATGCTCATCCTGACATTTCCTGTCAAACCAAAGAAGAGTTAAAAGAACTTAATGTATTCGAACTCCTGCCTCATCCACCATATAGTCCAGACCTTGCACCATCAGATTACTGCTTATTCAGATCCATAGCCCATTTTTTTCAAGGGAAAAAATTTGATAATTTTACAGAAGTTGAAATTGCGTTCCAAGAGTTCTTTTACAGCCATCCCAAAGAATGATATCAGTGTGGGATCGAGCAATTGGCTAGCAGATGGGTAAGAGCGAAGATAACAATGGGATATATTTCAAATATTAATTGTATTTTATATCAAAGAAATAATAATACAAATATTTGGTTAGAAAAAAAACGCTAATTTTTTTTTTTTATACACTCTTGATGTTTGCTTGATGTGATTAAAGACTGGCACTATATATATATAGTAATATGATAGTTATATCTTATCTGTTGGCAAGAATAGAAGCCATCAAATTTGTATATGATTTTTTGTTTTAGTATTTTTATTAAATTATAGGTCTTGACCAAAAAGAAAGAGAAAGAGGAGAGATGAAAATTCCAACACCTGCTATGGAACGGTGGGAGAAGGCTTTGATGGAATCTACAACTTTTCCACAGTTGTTTCTTTATCTTTCAACTCTCGGTAAATTTATTTTAAACTATATCATTGTAATATCTTGATCAAATGCTAAAATATTAATTTATTAAATTAAAGCTCATTCTAAATCAATTTTATTTTTAATAATTTAGAGAATTCAGTGTTATGGGAACGTTCAGCCATCAATGCATCTTGCCGTATTTGCCGTAGAATGAAGGACCCAGAAAGCATGCTCCTCTGTGATACTTGTAATAAAGGACACCACATGTACTGTCTAAAACCAAAACTTACAGTAAGTACATTGTATCTTCTTTTTTTGTCTTAGCTGGCACTTAATTTCTTGTTGAGTCAGGGCCTTCTGCAACTTGGCAGGCCAGTCATTTTGGTTGGCTGCTATTGTTCTCCAGTTGAGAATGTCCAAAATAAATCTTGCATCATTGATCATTGAACAGAGGTCTTCCTACTCTTCTGCTGGCAATTATTTTGTCAGGGTATATGTGTATATGGTCCAGATTCTCAGAGTCATTCTTGCAGTAAGGTCATACAACCAGAGTTTCCATCCTCAATCACTCTAACAAAATCAGGTTTCCTATACACTCTCTTAACTCTAGATTAGTTTGGATTATCTTTAATCCATTAATGTTCAATGGGTCAAATATATTTTCTTAATATATACCATTTAAATTGAAGGGCTTATTTTGCTTTTGTTAACTTCTAGAGCCAAAGATTCCAATAGGGCTAACAGGTGTTTTGTATATGTTTATAGCCAAGATTCTTCTCTGAATTTTTGCTTTTATATTGTTATCAGAGTTCACCTTGGAGTCTTAGTAAATTTACTTTCCAGTCCTCTCAAATATGATATTCCCAATCTCTACATGGAGTTAGTCTTGGATAGTTCCATGAGATCCTGGTCCTGTAGCCTCACTGAATCCAAAGAAATGCCTTGCTTAGATTAGATTAGATAAATGTCCTCCAACGATATTCATATCATCTTTAAAACCAGGTTAATTGGAGATTTGTTGAATACTGTCACTTCCATCTCAATTTATATTATTGGGTTTTCTGGAAAATAATGCGGGATTTTGGTTTAAAAAGAAAGATTTACAACTGTTTTATTTAATCAATATAGTCTCCACTACTATCAATACATTTTTTGCCAACATGTTGATAACATTTCCATTCACTTGGAATAGAACTTCCCATTTTTAGAATTTATAACTCCAAAACACATTTTCTAATTCCCTTTGTCCATTACATCTTTCGTCTTGTAAGTAGTGGTCCAGATGTCTAAAAAAATTATCTTTACTATTGTAATAAATAACCTGTCACTGTGGTTCACCAACAAGGGAGATTTGGTTATAGAGTAAATACTGTATCTTTTCTTCAAAACATATAATTTCTTGGGATGGGTAATAGATATTCTGTTACTATGGTCATATTGTTTATATTAAAGTTTGACTGTTTATAGTTGTTTTAATGAATAATGAAGAAAACTATTAGAAACTAACCAAAATTATGTTTAATTTGGAAAATTAGCAGAGTATTTCAGTGAGTAAGGATCTATGCTCCCATTTTATTGGCACCAAATTGAATCAGGCTGTGAAAGATAATTTTTTGTTTTGTTTTATCAACCGCGAATTGGCCTAGAGGCACATCTAGTTTCTGTGAAGTGGGCAACCCTAATTAAATGATTGATTAAGGGGAGGGGGGCATGATCCCAACGATGCACAGTGATCATCTCTCTAGAAAAATGTTGGCTTAGAAACAATAGTTCATTATACAAAGTACTGAACCCATGACCCTTCTTAGGAGGTTGTACAGTTTTTTTTTTTTATTTTGAGAAACTAGTTTCATATATTACCTATTTAAGTTATACTTTTGGTTTATTGCCTACAAAGTTGTTATATAGTGGTACTCTTATAATGTTATAAAACTATTCTGTTATCTCTTAATAGTTTCTTTCCTCTTAGTATATGTTACTCAGTTCATACGAGAATAAATAAAATAGATTTTTGTTACAAATAATTGAAAAAAATATTAAATGTTTAAACTAATGATTAATTATTATAATTGATGGATGATAATTTATAACTATTAGTATTTCCTTGACTTAAATTACAATAAAGAATCAAATAATTATGTCAATTATCTAGATGTTTTCTATTTGTATTAATCAATTAAAAATATTAATAATTTTTTTATAATGTTTTTTTCACTAAACCTTCATAAAATCTCACCAAGAAAATCATGTATTTTCAGGTTTTTACTTAAATATAAAATGAAAAAGAAATAGTCGAACAAGTGTACACACACATTTTTTAAGTAGTATGCAAGTTCAAGGAATGATTTAGAATTTGCAGATTAGAAATGATAATCAGTGGTTTTGACACCTTTGTAAATCTAGCTTTACTATTTTTCAGAGAATACCAGCAGGTGACTGGCATTGTCCTCGATGTCAACGTAGCAAACCTTCGGATAAACCTCCAACCCTTGCAAAGAAACGACGACTTTTCTCTGAAGATTCAGAAGGAGAGGAGGAAAATTTAGAAGAGTAAGCCATGACAAGATTAATTAATATCTTCTTAAGTTTTAAATGCATGATATAACTTTAAAAGAAACAAAAAAAAAAGAATGAGTTGTTTAATCTAATTTGATTAATCAAAAAATATTCTTTGTTTCATATTAAATTCTTACTATGAAATTTTTTTAATCCTCTTTTTATGAAAGCATTTTGTATTGTCTTAACTATTTTAAAAAAGGTAATCAATTGAATTTTGGTTTAGAAAATACTAAATAATACCTGGTTTTCCTCTTGTTGCCGTTAATACAAATATATTTTTGTTTTGGTGCTGCTCCTAGAAAATGTCTGCAAGAAATGAGAGAAAAACATTCTGTAGGATATGATTTTAAAAAATTTAATTTTTGGGGATTAATGACTTGAGGAAATGGCTATCACTTTCTGTTTTGTCATAGAGTTTAAATATATATTTCTGCAGCTACTGTTAGCTGCATTATTTTTCTTATTACAATATGTTTGTTACTGAAACTAAGTGGAATTAATAAATGAATATTATATTGTATTTTTTTCTTCCAGTAAACAAAACCATACTTGAAACACCCTTAATTACTATTCTGTTCATTATACCTAGATTTGATGTTTTCATTTTTATAAATTAAGGCCGTTATTCCAACAACATTTTATTTATTTTTTATTTTATATAGACAAAATGACAGTTCTTCCAGAAATGGCATGGGGAAAAGTCTAAAATATTCGGACATTTTTAATGTGTTCTCAGAAAAATGAAAATGGCCTTGAATATGCAGATTTAGTGGAGGACTCAATTAAAACTTGAAATTGGTCCTAGTTTTGGCTGAAATGTTGTCGATATAGAATGAAAAATAAACTAAATGTTAGTGGAGTAACGGCCTTAATTTATACAAATTAAAACTCCTGATTACTATATTTTAGGCGAATAAATTTGAAAAGTTTTTGCTTGGCAAATCAATGGAATAATGAATGGTGAATTCATAAAATAGTGTATGAAAAGTATCGGGTTGAAGTTAGGAATGATTTGGGGTTGTTGAAGTCGAGAATGGATTAGAGTTCCCAAACATTTTCTTTTATTCACTTTTATTTATTTTTGTTCTTTTCACGACATATAAAGCATATCTGGTGGAAACTACTTTAATTTAATTTGAACAAATAATAATTTGACATTCTGATGTTTTGAATTTTATATTTACCTTACCTAATTTTTCTAGGAGTATATGTAAGGTTTGTGAGGAAAGTGGTGCTCAATTGCAATGTGGTACCTGTGATTCACGACTTCATCTAGGCTGTGTTGTGCCTCCTATGAGGAGAGTTCCTAAATCAAAGTGGTTCTGTCATGATTGTAGAAATGCTAATTCTCTTCAGAATACATCTACAAGTAATCGAAAATCTGCTGGTAAGTAGCAAAGTTTACAAAAATACGACAACTATGCTACTTTTTACATTTGATGTATAGATAGTTGTAGAAGTGTTTGGTATTCAAAGGATAATAAAGAAAAAGTGGATTTTTTTTTTTTAATTTGTTACTTTTAATAAATTATTAAGGTAGTTAATAATAATCCCCAAAAAGTTAACAAACACTGATATTTATTTCTTCCAACCATGGATCATTTTCAAAATACTATATGTTGTGATTTAAAGGAAAAAGTTTATACTTTATTATGTTTTGTATATTTATTTAATTTAATAATAATAATAACAATTTAATTTAATAAACCTGTTGATATTGGATGTAAAAAAAAAAAAAAATGTTTAGCCCTTTACCTTAATATTTTCATGGCATCATTTTAACTTTAAGTAAAGATTTTCTCTTGATTTCAAAAAGTGACATGATATTAAATATTCTTTTTTACTATGACTGTTGTGATAGGTACCACAGAAATAAAAGAAGAACCAGAGGAGGTTGACATTAAGTGGGCTGTAAAGCAGGAACAAAATACCAATAGTAAGTCAAAACGCAGTGATGTGTCATCTAAGAAGGTCAGAGAAAGGGAACATAAGGAGAAAGGAGCTGAATCTCCCAAAATAAATGGCTATGTTAATGGAATTAAAAGGCATGGTAAGGTATTTCAATCTTTAATGCTACTTAGCATCTTTATCTTCCCAAAATAGTTTTTCTGTTTCATAATTTCCTATTTACAAAATTGTTAATTGTTAACTTACTGGAATATTTTTAATTGAAATATTTTAATTAAGGTTTTATTTATTTTTTAAATTTACTTAGCAATATGAAAATAATTTTGTTTTACTTTTTATTTCCAAATGTTTCCTCATACATTTTAATCTCATCTTAAAACATTGTTTTTTGGTATTAACATATTTTATATCTGGTTGTATTGAATGAATTGTCAATTTGAGTGCATTAGTTAAATATGACTGATTATAATAGCAATTTATTAATTATTGCAGAATTAATTTTAATATGTAAGCTGACCCAATCCTGCTCACTTTTGAGAATGATTTCCAAAATACTCTGAAAGTTTATTAAGAATTTATTTCTTTTGTAGGCAACATACCAATCTGTGACAGATTTCCTCTCTTTTTAGGCATGAATATTTCCTAAAATAGAAATACTATGCCATATGCTCTATCACTTTATTTCCTTTCAGACTCTGAAGTCTAACTTGTGAGGAGAAAATATGAGAAAAAATTTATTAAAAACTAGTTTAGTAGGAAAAATATTATATAATCCAAATTTGGTCAATACAATTATATTAAATATATTCATGTCCTATAAACAATATCTTTAAAAAAATTAAATTTCATGTGTTATAACCAGATAACAGTTATGCTGAGAGATTATATGAATTTACTGATGCTTATATTTATTTATTAATTTTCAATTTTAACCAGATATAATTTTTTTCTGCAGTTGAATTAAACTATTCAACTTTGTCATTTTACTGTAGAAATATGCTGTAAATGTAGTTCTAATAACCGGCGATTTCTCGTGGAATTGATTATTGAATTGAATAAATTTTCAATAGATTGTCACATTTCCCTTGTGAATCTGATTTAATGATGTATATAAATATATATATTGTCTTGTCAAGATGGATTGTTCTATTTATTATTTAATAGATAAAAACTCGTTAATGTGAGTGTATTCATAAAATGAAATGTAGTTTCAGCACTATTTAGAGGTTCTGTCAGTTGCTTTTTCCTGTTTCCAACATTTTTATTTCTTTTTTTCTTAGCTAAAAAAAGGATATTAATTTTTACTTATGAATTTAATTTGAAAAAAAATTCATTATTTGGTGTTATGAGATCCTTATTTTAATAATGTTTGCTGTTTAATTGCTTAGGTCAGGGGTAAATTTCAGTCAAATCATTTAGTTTAGTTATTACAAGTACTTGACTTGTCATCGCTATTGCGTGGTTGGAATTACAAAATCATCATGTATTATTGTTTTCAAGATCTGTTTTGCTTACTTTATTTATTCATGAATAAAACTACTTTGAGACAGCGCAGTAAGAGTAGGGGTTGTATTTTTGTTATAACCGTTTTTAAAAAATATTAAATTATTCGTTATCAATTTTATGTAAAATTAAAAATTCCATCACATTTTTATTTACAATGAAACTTTTTTTTATTATCAATGTTTATACTTCATAAATTGTATTTTAAAAATATAATCTTTAGAAAATTAAGGTCTGTAGATCAGATTGCTTGCTGTAAATATTGCTATATCCCATTTGTTGTTACAATATATGATTAATCACATTAATATGTAATGTACTTAAACTATCATAAAACTGATATCATGACAGGGGTGACAACTATAGTTTTTCAAATTATAAAATTAATCTATTTTTTGTGATGAATTTTGTTTATACATTTTGTTAAGACTCAAAACACCTTTACAAATTGTGTGTTATTATACCCACACCTATTCTCATGCTTTAAGAACTTTAATCTCCGAGCATTAATACGGCACCTTGCATTTGTTCTACCAATCTTATCTGGTTGGGTAACTTTTCTCCAATTTCTTACCCACTTTAAGCTTTTTTTTCCCACCTTGCACATCATATTGTATCTTGATAATGTTGATTTGATTAAAAACTTTTTTTATACTTTATGAAGTATAAAAAAAAGTTTTTAATCTTGGTTTTTATCATATCTATAAAACAGATAATTGGGGGGGGGGGGGAATTCTATCATTTCTGTATAGTTCTATAATTACATTTGGCCGATGGCTTTGAAGTTAAAGAATTTAAAAATATTTTTGATCCTCATAGTCCAGCGCAATCATAGTGCAGTGTTTAGCGTACATTTCTCTCATTGAGAAGGTTCCCAGTTCATTACCGGTTCAACTATGTTCTTTTATCTAAGTGTCTTTATAGTCCAGTGGCTAACACACTAGTCTATAATAGTAAAAGTCCTAGTTCAAGATTGGTTCCACCATATTCCTTTCGGGGGCGGAGTGCCCGAACGGGTAAACAAGTGCACAGCACTGCTGTTGCCCGGCAATTGATAACTGGATTAAAATAGTCACAAGTTCGCATCCTGGTGGCGAGGAAGGAAAGGACCCAAAAAAAAAGAAATCCTCATACTTGACTCAGTTGTCAAATAATTTAATAAATTACTGTATGTAGTCCATGACTTTATTCAAATACTCTTCAATTTAACGTGATAATAAATTTAATGTGAGTTCCTTGATTTTTGTGATGCCATGTAAAGAAAGAATGATTTCACATTAATTTCGTTAGTTGAAGTGTTTTCGTATATGCATTATTTTCTATTTTTTTGTTTTGGTGTTTACACCAATTAATCAAATTTTTTGGAATGTTTGATATTCACCTTAATATGTTGTAACACATTTAGCTTTTCAAAAGCTTAAAGACTTCTAAGTATAATTTAACTTTGAAGAATCCATCATAGATTTGCTATTCTCAATGAAAATTCCATAAACATCTGTGATAGTACAAAAAGACCCATAGTTCTTGGGAAACCTGTACCTGATATATAAATACTTTTACAGAGATTATGATATATCCTGAACTATAGATTTTTAGATTCTTCATTCTTTCTAGATTTTTTTATATAGCTTTTGACCAATGGTTTTTTTGTTACCTTCACTACCTTTCCATTATCTTGATTTTTTATCTTTTCATGTTCATTTGGTTGAAACTAAGCTTTCTTAATCTCCTTGATGCATTATTTTTTCATCTTTACTGGATATATGGTTGTCTGGTCTATTATAATTTCAGTTAATTATGTAAAATTAATTTTCAATTCTTTAACTTTTATGTTTTGTTAATTGAAATTTGTATCAGAAAAGAGTTCTAATAAATAGCTATTGATTTTTTCAATGCTACTGAACAATTCCTTATAGCTTTATATTCATAATATATTTCTTTTAAAATATATTAATTTGCAACTATAAAGCAATATTATCAAGCGGTGATCACAATTATTGCTTTTATTATTTATAAAAATAACAATTTATTTATCCACGAGTAGTCGCCAGCATAGTAGCTTTAAAATGTATGAGATATTGGGTGAGGATAATAATGTGGTAAGCAGGAGTTAAGTGAGCATGATTGCGCATGCAGACCCTGCGGAGGATCTGGTTGAGGAGAGGTCTAGCCGGAGGAAATGCTCTAAGGCTGCCACTGCAAAGATCTCACAGTTTGCCAAGCAACTTAGAAGCAACTACTGGGATGGTTTGTATGGACTCAAGTCCATTTTCCAATTGAAAATGCTTTTCAGTCCCGACACCTTCCTGGCTTGCCTTCCTGCCCTTGCAATCCTCGTGTGTTTATTTTTCATTAGATGTTAACTTTGTTTTAATTTTCATTGCAATAATCTTTCTCTTATTAATTTTGTTATATAATAATCACTTATTTTAATAATTCGGTCATTATAATTTTATTGGAAATCTGTAATTTTATTTACTAGAAATTTTCCAAGTATGGGTCAAAATCTAAGCATAATGGTCAGGTAATGGCCACAAACATTTAATTTGTTGACTGATGGAGTTGATTGTTCTTGATCAAAACATCTTTCAGTACTTTTATAATCTGGAGACACCATTACAGTGGCACCTTGCTGCTAAAATCATCGGAGTCCCACTTTCAGTTCTTCAAGTTGTGGCCAAAACAACTGATCATTTTGATGTATTATGCAGATTAGAAGCACAGTCATTTTTAGAAGAAATTAAAAAAAAAAGAAAGCTTAATTCCACTCTAAACTCTGTTATCATTCAGAAGAGGTTTTTCATGGATTTTACCAGCATATATCACTTTGGAAGAACACTTTTGGTGGAATTTGTTTGAATAGATATTAGGGAGACCAGAAAGTAATGTTGTTTCTGTGCATTTCACTATTTGATTGTCATTTGTCAGCTCATTCTATAAAGCTAATTCGCTGCAAAGACATTCTAAGGTTATGATGACTTGTCCAGTTGAAAATAATTAAATTTAAAATATTTTTTTTGCAATTTTGGATGAAATGCCAAGCGAAATATCAGAAGAGGTACATATCCGCCATTGCTTGCTTTTCAAGTTTTGTAAGGGTAGTAATGCCACAGTTGCTGCCAAAAACATTTATGATGTTTATCCAAATGCATTAGACATTAAAATGCCAAAGGTGGTTTTCCAAGTTCAAATCCGGTAAATTTGGTCTTTATGACTCATATTGATAAGGAGGATCAACAACGTAAGATAATGACACGTTAAGGGTGGAAGTTAAAGCAAATCCATTTCAGACAAGAGAGGATTTGTCAAGCAGTCTTAACCAACCTTGATCGATCAACCAAGAACATTTGCCGCAGATTGGAAAACCACCACATGCAACTTGTATTGCTTCAATGTACCAATACAGAAGTATTTTTTGATCGCTTGATCACTGGAAATGAAAAATAGGTCCTTTATTAACTAAACTAAAATGCAAAATGCTTTTGCTAGTTCATTGCTATTGTTCTATGCTAGATTCATTCTCCAAATGAATCACCACAAAGTACTGCTAAGCCAGGTTTACACCCCAAAAAGATCCATCTCTCTTTTTCTCAAAAGCCAATTGATTTTTATCGATCCGGCATTGAGAATTTGCACATT